TTTACAGGCAGTAGGAACAAACCTTTTCAACGATGTAGCCAAAAGAAATCAGTGTAGCTACATAGGTTTAGGATAAAGGAATGTATATGAACTTAGGAAATTTGCTTTTAATCAAATATTCCTAGAAGAACAGGTGTCACTCATTTGAAAGATACTTAAGCCTCACCTGCACCTGCTATATGCTCTGGCACAGTGGTCAGCAAACTCATTAGTCAACAGAGCCAAATACCAACAGTACAACGACTGAAATTTCTTTTGAGAGCCACATTTTTTAAACTTAAACTTCTTCTAACGTCAAAATAGACTCTCCCAGGCCATGGTATTTTGTGGAAGAGCCACACCCAAGGGGCCAAAGAACCGCTTGTGGCTCGCGAGCCGCAGTTTGCCAACCCTGGCTATGGTATGACATGGCCAAGCAAGCGTCCTTCTTATGCTGAGACGGCCACTAGGGACGTTAGATGCATAAAGAGAAAAGCACAATGCAAAAGCACAATGCATGTTTTTTTGACCCATTGATTCCGCCCAGTATATCATTTTTCTGTTATATCATTTCCTTTCAGCCTGTTCATGTCTTCATATTTTTAAGAGTGACTCCTGCAGCATTTAATTGAGTTTCACTTTTGTGTCCACTCTGACATTCTCTTCTCTGTAATTGGGGGTATTTTGTCCATCAACATTTTAATGTAATTATCAATGTGGTTACATTTAGTCCACTATTTAATAATTTATTTTCTTTCTGTCTCCTCTGTGTCTATTCTCTTTTTCCTGCCTTCTTTGGAATTATCTGATGATTTTTTTTAATTTTTTTTTTTTTTTTTTTTTTTAGAATTATACAATCTTTTAGTATGCAAAATATAGTAACCTTGCCATTTAGGTCTGTTTACCATCCCTCTTTCCCTGATTTTGTTCTTTATATTTGTCTTCGTATTCTTTTCTTTTTGCTTCATAGTATATCAATACATTTTAAAAAATATATATCTTATTGATTTTCTTTTTTTTTTTACAGAGAGGAAGAGAGAGAGAGAGAGTTAGAAATACCGATCAGCTGCCTCCTGCACACTCCCCACTGGGGATGTGCCCGCAATCAAGATACATACCCTTGACTGGAATCGAACCTGCGAGTCTTCAGTCCACAGGCTGATGCTCTATTCACTGAGCCGCACCGGTCAAGGCTTCCTAGTGTACCATTGCAATTCATTTTGAAGAGAGACCCACTCCTGTTTTTTATCTTGCCTTGTTCCAAGGCTTGGGTTGTGAGGAGTGCGTATAATGTTGTGGCCTGAGGCATTGACTCTATGGTTGTAAAGATATTAATTTACCATGTTTATATTGGCATGGGACATGAATGCAATCAACCCTCCCAGGATGAAAAGTTACAGTTATCTGTAATAAATAACTATAACGACTTTTTTTTTTTTTTTTTTTGAAGTTCTCCTTTAAGATGTGATAGGGTGAAGGAATGTTTAGGGGAGGCACAACGCTAACTTATCAAGGTGATATTTTTCATGCGGGTGAACGTTTTCTGCCTTATGAACACAAGACAATGATAAAGAAAGAGATAGCTGCAGTAATATTTTACAAGGAGGGTCAGCATCTGCTTTCCCTGAAAAAAAAAAAAAAACACAAAAAACAACAACAACAAGAAAGCAGGCAAACAAAACCCCTCACGGTTGCACCATTTTTCTGCGTTTCCTTGTCTCCCATGTCCTCCTTTATGGACTACACCAGCCTGCCATCGGGTTCGACAGGAAGTTAGAAATCGGTGGAACACTTGGATGGCTAGGAAGTTTTAGAAAAAACACACGCCACCTTTTCTGTTTTGTTCCTTAGTTTTGGAAACACCTGGGGTTTGGGGCTGCCCCCGGGCTGGGAAGGAAGGAGATAGTAGTTGAGATTTGGAGGTGTGAGTTGTGGGTTGAGAGTTTGAGGCTGCACCCTTTTAAGAGGGTTCAATGCCAACGCAGAACTCCCCTGGTGGGATGTGAGAGGCATGCTCTGGGGTTCCAGACAGAGGAAAAGGGACACGCTACCATGATTTCTTTTCTCGAAGGAAAAGACCTGAAATGAAGAGCTCCAGGTGATTACCTAAGTCCCGGAACGGTGCCCGGGACACTTTTGCCGTGTCCACCTCTCTGGCTGGCGGAGAGGACCAGCCACACGCCCTGGGGAGGGGGCCCAGCAGCGAGGGCTTTCACACGCAGCTAGGGGGGGAGGTTTAGGGGGAGAGCCAGAGACTGGGCAGCCGGGCGGGCTCGGGGGCACAGGAGCTGTACGTGGCGGAGCTGTGTTGTCTTTGCATCTTGTTGGCTTTGCCGTCAGTGAAATGAACTTAGAAAGGAGCCGGGTGGGAGCCGCGGGGTCTGGGGAAGGCCGCTCTGCCATTGCCTGAGGACGAGGAAGGCAGAGCCCCCGGGAGATGGACGGTCAGGACAGGACTAGAGGGAGGAGGAGCGAGAGCAGCAGCTGGACGGTTTGGAACATGCCGCCCCACTCTGTCCTGATCGCCCCGCTCTGTCCTGACCGCACGGCACAGGAGCCCCGCCCAGCCGCTCGGCCTCAGAGCCACAGGCAGCTGTTGGCGGCCGGTGAGGGCTGGTGACCTGTGGCTCCGGTGAGCCGCCCCGAGCTGATCGGGAAGGAGCCACGTCCAAGGTCGGCCTGCCTGCCTCTATGCTTAGCGCCCAGCGAGGGACAGAAGACGCGGGGAAAACTGCTCTGCCGTGGCGAGCGAGGACCCACACTGCCCCTTACATGACCGACGATCAACCACCCGTGTGCGTGTGTGTGTGTGTGTGTGTGTGTGTGTGTGTGTGTGTGATAGGTAACAGTGCTGATGTGTTCGCAGAATAATGGGAAGCAGATGGGTCACAACTGTTTTGAAGTAAAAAGTCTCTGAAGTTTATTTCGGCTCCTTAATGACAGGGCAGCTGGGAGGCGGGCGTGTGGGTTCAGAGTGTGGTTACGTGCTGGCATGGTGCTGGGCTGTGCCCAGGCTGCCAGAGGGGAGGGACAGGGTGGGATGGTGCTGTGTCTTCAGGGCCCACTTTGGGCCTCCCTCCCTTCCTTCTTTCCTTCCTTCAATTCCTTCCTTCCCTCCTGCTTTGTTTGTTAATCCTCACCCAAGGATCTTTTTCCATTGGTTTTTAAAGCAAGTGGAATGGAGGGAGAGACCAAGAGAAACATCTATGTGAGAGAGACACATCAATTGATTGCCTCCTACACACATCCTGATCAGGGCTGGGGGACCAGCAACCGGGTATGTGCCCTTGACCAGCATCGAACCCAGGTCCCTTCAGTCCGCGGGCCAGCATTCTACGCACTGAGCCAAACCAGCCAGGGCCCTCTGGGCGTATTTTTAAGCAGCGACGTGAGGCCAGTGTTCGCACAGAACGGGTAGGGTGACCTCGAGGGTGTGCCTGCGACCGGCCCCCGTTTCCCGGTGCTGGGCTCTGTGATTTGGTGAAGCTTCCCGGCATTCTGAAGTCAGGGTTCTGGAGTCCTGGAAGCAGCGCAGTCCCTTGGAGCCTTTCCGTTAGATTCTAACGTGATCTCCGCTGGGTGAACTGAGCCGGGTTTGGGGGACAACAGAGAAGTGTTAATGTCTGTGACAGACAAGGAAAAACACATGCTCAAGTTGGGGGTTTTGACTTCATGTCAGCCCATGGCAGGGCCTGGCGATTTCTGAAGCCGTGTGTGTGTGTGTGTGTGTGTGTGTGTGTGTGTGTGTGTGTGTGTGTTTGTGTCTGTGTGTGTGAGTGTGTGTGTGTGTGTGTGTGTGTTTGTGTCTGTGTGTGTGAGTGTGTGTGTGTGTGTGTGTGTGTGTGTATGTGTGCGCGCATTTATTCACGGTGATTTTGCTGTGATTTTTAAGTGATTCCACGGGAAGGGCTTGGGGCGTGCTGGCTCCCGGTCACTGATGCTGTTTGAGCTCTGCAGTTCGGTCTGGTGGCCATGCCCCTGTCTGCCTGCCTGCCTGCCCGGGGTGGCCCATCACTCCAGCTTCTCTTCCTGCTCGCTGATGATTAGGTGCAGGCATTTTCCCTAATGAAGTGCATGTGGTCAACATGCTGTTCTCCTGGAGGGAGCAAAGGACATCCTGAATTTTTAGGAGGGGTGTCCACAGGAGGCCTGGCAGCCTTCCTGGACCGGAGGCCTTGGCTGTCCTCGGGGCTGGGACTGAATGAGACCCAGACCTGGGGCAGAACCTTGCTCCACTCACCCGGGGACTGTACAGCTTCCGTCACTGGTGAGGACATAGGCCCGGATGTCGCTTAGCAATGGTGAGGTCAGCTGTTGGGTATTTTGGGCCATTTTTCTCACGTTTGAACACATTTTTGTCATCATTATTTTGGAACTCCAGTCCGGTTGTGAACGTGCGATGTAACATCTCCCTCCTGGGTCCTCTGAGTTGACCCGATGCTAATAAGTGGAGCCATAAACAGAGCATGTACGTTGCATATTGTACAGTGTGAGAGACGAGACATCAGAGCCATTTGGCTCATGGAACATGCATGGGGAAAGGTGACATGGGCTACGCAGAGTGGATGCTATGTGTTAACTATCAGAATCATCAGGAAATCGAGTGGATGTCTCATCATTCTATCTGAAGCACATCAACGGGCCCTGAAGGGGCTGTGGCTACATGTGATGACCTAGTGATAGTGAGCTGCACCCTAAGGTTACATGTGGTTACATGTGATGACCAGGTGATAGTGAGCTGTATACTAAGGTTACATGTGATGACCATGTGATAGTGAGCTGCGTCCTAAGGTTACATGTGGTTATATGTGATGACCACATGACAGTGAACTGCATAGTAAGGTTGCATGGGGTTACGTGTGATGGATGACCTTGTGATAATGAGCTGCGTCCTAGGGTTACATGTAGTTACATGGGATGACCACATGTCCGTGAGCTGCACCCTAAGGTTACATGTGCTTACATGGGATTACCACGTGGCAGTGAGCTGACCCTAAGGCCTTGTTTCCATCGCCCCACAGCTTTGCCCTGTCGGATGAAGCCTACCGGTCCCTGCGAGACCAAGACAAGGACCAGTGCATCCTCATCACCGGGGAGAGCGGAGCTGGAAAGACAGGTAAGACCACTGGTCAGCCCCCCTCTCCATGCGAGGGCGAGTGTCGCAGGGAGTACGCCGCTCGCTGGGCCGCGCGGCACCTTTGCCACAGGCTCTGGGTATCGGGCTGCTTGCCTGAGAGAGGCCGGGTCCTCGGGCTCCGCGAGGCCCCAGCCACGGCTCCTTTCTGCCTGAGGTGACATGGACCACGCAGAGCGGATGCTATGTGTTAACTATCAGAATTGGCAGGAAGCCCACAGAACTGAGTTTTGCGTGTAGCGTTAGGTGGGCTGCCTGTATTTCAGTGTGATGACAAAGATTAGGTGCAAAATGTTGTGGAAAGAGACAGGAACCTCTTCATATAGTTTGGAGGGATCTTGCTTTTCCCGTGTGCTTATACTGAAAGCAGAATGGGTGATGGATGGCCTGGAGTGGGAGGTGGTTGTACCTGGGCCCGGCGAGCTGCAGAGGGTTGGGCAGAGCTGCCCCGGAGCGCACCCTGCAGGTTCCCCCTGCCTCTGACCTCTCCTCCGCGCAGCTGAGGGCCCAGGAAGGAGGAAGCGGGCGGGGAGGGGGCGGGCAGGGAGATGGTGGCTGCATGTCCATGTCATCTTCCACACGTTCTCTTAAAATTACAGTCACAGACACGGTGCGCTAGTTTCAGGTGTGCATCCTAGTGCTCCTACCTGTGTGAACCTCACGATGTCGTCACCTCTGCACATCGCTGCCTTGGTCTCCGTGCAGAGCTGTGCGGAGCTGGCTGCACCCCAGGGCGGGATCACACGTCCCCGTGGCTTATTTACAGCGTGCGCTTGTGTTATAGCTGAGACGGGTCGTTAGTCAGTTCTGCTGGTTTGCCAAAGTGGGATTGAAATGTTTCCACTTTCTTGGCTTTTTCGTTGTCAGCTTAATAGCTTTGATTTCCACCGGCCTGGCGTGGCTCAGTGGTTGAGTGCTGACCTGTGAGTCAGGAGGTCAGGGCACATGTCTGGGTTGCAGACTCCATCCCCAGTAGGAGGCAGCCTATCCACTGCTCTCTCTCATTATTGATGTTTCTCTCTCTCTCTCCCTCTCCCTTCCTCTGTGAAATCAATCTTCTTATATAATGGCTAATATTCAAATTGTCCCCTCAACTGGGAATTCCAACGGAAGTTCGAACAGGGGGTGGGGCCTGCCTACCAACTGTCCTCGGCCCCCGATTAGCCCCAATCAGGGTGGGCAGGCCAGACCCCACCCATGCACAAATTTGTGCACCGGGCCTCTAATAAAAATATATTCAATAATAATAATAATAATAATAATACAAGAATAAACGGTTGCACCTCTTCACAAGTGTGCACCTACTTTTGCCCCACCCACCCTGTGCTTTCTTCGGATCTGGTTGAACCCATTTGTTCCTAAGTGAGTCATCGGTGTGGGCTCTGGCCACGGGTTTTGATGGATTTTGGCAGTTCCTCCTCTAGGGAGCATATGCGCCAAGAAGACAGTGTAGCCACTAATTGGCCATGTCGGCGACCTCCTCCTTCTGGGAGAGCGGAACAGTGCTTCCTTGAGGAGGGAAGGTCCGTCTCCTGTTGGCCCCGGATCTGCCTATGGAAAAACTGAGAGGGGCCTGCTGGGGCCGTGCCAGAGGGTTGGCATTCTTTCTTTTCTTTTTTGTTCTTTTTTGCTTTATTTTGTTAATCCTCACAGGAGGATATTTTTTTCCCCATTGATTTTAGAGAGAGGCAGGGGAGAGAGGAGAGAGAAACATTGATGTGAGAGAGCCACATCACTTGGTTGCTTCCCACTCGTGCCCCAACTGGGGTGGGGAACCTGCAACCGAGGTACGTGCCCTTGACCGGACTCGAACCCCCGGCCCTTGGGTTCGTGGGCTGACGATTATTGAGGGCCCGGTATGTGCTCGGCACTTTGCCTGGCATTCCTCCTTTCAAGAAGCAGCGTTACTAAGCGCTTGCGTCACCCTGTGGCAGCGGAGGGCTTATTTTATAAGAAGTGCCCACTTCACTGGGTCGAGTCTTCAGTGCTGGAGACGCTCTTACCTGCAGGGTATGTGCTGTGACACACAGGGAGACGGGTGAGCGCGTGGGGTCTCTGGGCCCCGTTTATTTCAGGATCGCTGAGCTAAATAAAACATTCCTTGAGGCCCAGTCGGCGCAGCGCAGCGGTCGAGCATGACCTACAAACCAGGAGGCCGAGGTTTGATTCCCAGTGAGGACACAGGGCCCGGGTTGCGGGCTCCATCCCCAGTGTGGGGCGTGCAGGAGGCAGCGGTCCATGGTTCTCTCTCCTCACTGATGCTTCTGTAAGAGTGCCCACATAGCTCTAGGCAGGGAGCTCCCAGTTTTCCGCTGTGGATGCAAAGTGCTTGCAGAAAGCGACTCGAGCCCTGATGGGGCGGGGAGGCGGAACATGGAGAGCCATCCCCATGCGGTTCCGAGGATATCCGAGGGAACCTGGGTCTGGCAAGGTGATCCTGACGCAGGAACACACACACGATGCGGTTTCTAACCTCACAGCCGCTTCCGTTTCCATGCACCCCGGCCACCAGCGTACAGCGCTAGGGAGCTGCCTGCCTCGCTCAGGAAGCCTTTAGCTCCCAGCCCCCGACCCGCCTGCGCTCTGTCTGCCGCAGCTCCCTGCCCGTCGCTGAGCGGTGTCGCCGGCTCACGGTGGCCGCAGCACACGCGTGTTCAGGCGGCGCATCCCTCCGGGAGAGCTGAGCGAGCACAGGCCAGGGCACACGGGCAAGGCCACGCCTGTGGAGCTGTTGTTCAGTGAACACTTTGCCAGTCACTACCCCCTTGGCTTAGAGGCTGCGCTTCTCCTGGCCAGACCCACGCTGTCACCACGAAGGGACCCAGCGGGTGCTGCCTGCGGGCGGGTCGCCTTGCAGGCGCTGCTGGGTCATGCTGCCGCACAGAGGCCTGGGGACTGCCGAGGGTGTCCTTCCAAGCTGCAGAGTCCGGTCTCGTTGCACACAAACAGGCCTCGTTGAATGGGCGGTCTCATTCTTTTTTTCTTTTCTTTTTTTAAAAATCTTTATTATTGGGGTATCCCCTTTTCTCTCCCCATTGACCCCTTCTAGCCTGCCCCCGCCCCAGGCCTTCACCATTATATTATTTGAACACAAGGTCTTTGGTTGATCAATTTTCACCCTCCCCACCTGAGGTTCCTCCGTTTATTCCATGCTTCCATGTCTCTGGATCCACTCCGCTCAGCAGTTTATTTTGTCCATTAGATGCCACATGTGGGGGAGATCATGTGATACTTGTCTCTCTGACTCAGCAGCCTCATTCTTTAGGAAACTGGGCCACCAGACCTGGGCAAGCTGGGTCCCTGGAAAACTTCCGGCATCTTAACGGAGGAAGAGAGAGTTAGAAACACCGATGAGAGAGAAACATTGATCAGCTGTCTCCTGCACATCTCCTACTGGGGATGTGCCCGCAACCAAGGTACATGCCCTTGACTGGAATCAAACCTGTGACCTTTCGATCCGCAGGCCGACGCTCTATCCACTGAGCCAAACTGGTTAGGGCTGCTCAGTGTTTTAATTAAGTTGAAGAGGTATCAATTTATTCTAATTGTGAGCAAGCCCGTTTAGTTTAGAACAGCCCTTTAAACATTTTAAAATATATTTGGTAAGAGTACCAGGTTACCAAGTTGTGCTGGGCTTGAATCAACGTGTATGATAGAGTCATGTTACGAGAAAGGCCGCTTTAAGGAGACAGTCCCCCTGGGGTGTTGTGGATTGGTTAGCGGCCCGGGGTGCTGTAAGCACAATATCCGTTAGATCTTTCATGACTTGTTCTTGAAGAGGAAGGACACTTATTGTAAAAGATTTCCAAGGCGCTACATCCTCCCAGGTGGAGAGGCATTCGAAACACTGTTGGTGGGTTTTGTCTTCCCAGTTCCTCCCTCTAAATTTCTCCTTTTCTAACCTCAGCTTCATGTGCTAACCTGGCTTCCTTTCACCCACAGAAGCCAGCAAGCTGGTCATGTCCTATGTGGCGGCTGTGTGCGGGAAAGGGGCGGAAGTCAACCAAGTCAAGGAGCAGCTTTTACAGTCCAACCCGGTCCTGGAAGGTAGGCCTCCCTGTGTGCGGGGTCGGTGTGCATGGACCGGGGCTCTGGTGTTCAGGGCACGCAGAGTCCTGGAGCCTACAGCCACCCGGTCAGAATCCCTGCTCTAGGAGAGTTGTTTGGCTCAACCCTTTGTTCAAAGTCGTAGGCAGTCAAGATTTAACGTGTTTAAAACGCAGGGCTGCCTTGGGTTGGGGGAGGGGGGGAGAGGTACCCCCAGCGTAGTAACCCCTACGTTGCCAGGCCTCTCCCTCTTCTTCCACTTTATCACCAGGAGATGCCATGCATCCTTACCCCCCAGATGTTGGGATAAGTCACCAATATACCTTGACTTGGTGAAGAGCAGAGACTGAAACATGTATTCTATTGTTATCAGTGGTTCTTTCCCCTTAGTCACTTAGCACACAAAGTTCTGTATCTCTCTTATTCCTGTATGGGACTTGTGTAGTCCCTGCCCTCTGCCTTTACCTTCGGGGGCTGCCCGTGTGGTGCGTATTCGTTCTGAGAATGCCGCAGTCTCAGGGAGCAGCTCCGTGGACGCCGCCGTCGTCGGACTCTGTGATTGGAATCTTGCCCCTGAGCCGATGGCGTTGGGAACGAGGCCCCGGGCAGGAAATGGGGGGAAGGCCTCTGTGGGCACGCACTCTCTTGGATCCCAGCTGGAGCTGCTCCTGGAGATGGACATTAGAACAATTGCTCTTGGGGAAACAATGCTCTCAGAGGAATGCGTCTCCCGTGTCTGAGAGGGAGCCCTTGTCTTTGTGTCTGTGGCCCAGGGTCAAAGACGCCAGTGTTCCGAGCTGTGCTCAGCAATGTGCCACTCAGACTTGTGTGATGAAAAGAGGGCTTATGGCCTGCAAATGCCGCCCTGCGTAAAGTTTTTTTGAAGCAATTCCTTCACTCGCCCTTGACCTTCACGCCACAACACACTGCCTTTTATGCATCGGCATCTGGAGCTGGGCCTCGGGGCTGTGCAAGTTGGTTCACTTGGCACCTCGACATGGTGACACCCACCAGGAAGGACGAGCCTGTGAAAATCCAAGACTGTGTCCGGACCCTGGGCCGCACTCACTCACCGTTCTTGAGGTGGCCTTGACGGCTGTCGGCCTTTCGCTTGGTGGACACGGGATGGAAGTGCGGACCTCGGCCAGCATCCTTTCTGGAGTGTTTCCCGTGTTAGGCTTCCTCGCTCAGCATAGCACCTCAGTCTGCTTTATGTTAGAGAATTCGGCGTCGGGGACCTGCCACCCTACAGCCTCCCCAAGCGGTGTCTCTGCCCTAAGAACTGCCCTGCTGACTTTGTGGACTTTGCCTTACCTGAAGAGGACTCACCTTTTTTCCTTTTTTTAAAAATATATTTGATTTTTTACAGAGAGTGAGAAACATTGATGAGAGAGAAACATCGATCAGCTGCCTCCTGCACACTTCCTACTGGGGATGTGCCCGAAACCAAGGTACATGCCCTTGACCGGAATCGAACCCGGGACCCTTCAGTTCGCAGGCTGACAGCTCTATCCACTGAGCCAATCTAGTTTCTACAAGGACTCACTTTAAAAAAAAAAAAAAATAAATAAATAAATAACATTTAAAAAGCCAGCGAATGTGCCCTGACCGGTTTGGCTCAGTGGATAGAGCATCAGCCTGTGGACTGAAGGATCCATCAAGGGCTCATCCCTGGATTGTGGACTCAATCCCCATAAGTCATGTGCAGGAGGCAGCCGATGAGTGATTCTCTCTCATCATTGATGTTTCTATCTCTCCCTCTCCCTTCCTCTCTGAAATCAACAAAAATATATTTTAAACAATAAAAATAAAAAGCCAGCTAATGTGAAATACATCAGGTTTGGCTGCTGAATATCTAAAGTGAACTTGAACTTGAACACTCACTTCCTTGCCTGGCCCTGAGGTTGCTTTCAACACCCAGACCAGTTTTACGGCCTGAGTTACCGTGTGAACTCATGCTGCTCCAGTTATCTTCTCTCCTCTGGATTGAATGAGGTGATGGAAGCTTCCAGAGATGTGATGCTGGTCTCTCCGTCTGGACATTCACTTCTGCTCACACGTCATCGTGTCTCAGTCTTGCCAGCTGCCGTGTGGCCCACGGATCCCAGTTAACAGCCGAGGGACCGACCGAAATGCAGAAGGTCATGCCCTGATCCACTGGACGCACGTCTGTGCCTTCACAAAATCTCTAGGCCAATAGTCGGCAAACTCATTAGCCAACGGAGCCAAATATCAACAGTACAGCGATTGAAATTTCTTTTGAGAGCCACATTTTTTAAACTTAAACTTCTTCTAACGCCACTTCTTCAATATAGGCTCGCTCTGGCCGTGGTATTTTGTGGAAGAGCCACACTCAAGGGGCCAAAGAGCCGCATGTGGCTCGTGAGCCGCAGTTTGCTGACCACTGCCCTAGGCCATGGATGTGCACAGTGGAGTGTGAGGCGCACAGCGGGGCTTCCATACCGTGGGACAGGGATCCTGCCTGCTTACACGGCATATTTACTTAGTCTCCCCTGCTTGTGCTCAGCGTGTGAAGCAGTCCTTTTACCTTATGACACTGTGAGCCCCTGTGCTCAACAGAACATGGAATGTCCAGGTGGCATCCACCTGTGCTTCTTAGGTGCCCTCATTTCAAAGGGGCCTGTGGGGGAACTCGGCTCTGAAGCAGTGGAGATTGGCACCCACTTGGATTTTGAGTCTTAGGCCAGTTTGGCTTTCTTTTTTTTAAATTATATATATATATATATATATATATATATATATATATATATATACACACATACACACACACACACACACACACACACACACACACATACTAGAAGCCTGGTGCACCGATTCATGCACCAGTGGGGTCCCTCGTCCTGGCTTACAGAGATTGGGCTGAAACGGGCTCTTTGATATCCTCCAAGGGGTTCTGGATTGCAAGAGGGCACAGGCCAGGCTGAAGGACCCCATTGGTGCACGACTGGACCGCAGGAGGCAGCCAGTCAATCATTAATCTCATCCAATCCCTGTCTGCCGGACCCCAGCAGCAAGCTAACCTACCAGTCAGAGCGTCTGCCCCCTGGTGGTCAGTGTGCATCATAGAGACTGGTGGAACAGTCAGACACTTCTCATATTAGACCTTTATTATATAGGATGTATTATTGATTTGGAGAGGAAGAGAGAGGGGGAGAGATAGAAACATCAAGAATGAGAGAGAAGCATGGATCAGCTGCTTCCCACATGCCCCCATTCTGGGGATCAAGCCCACAGTCCGGGCATGTGACTTGACTGGAAATCGAACCATGACTTCTTTGTTCATAGGTCGATGCTCAACCCCTGAGTCGGGCTTGGCTTTCTTTACATTCTAGAAAGTTTCACTTAGGTGTGAGGGGCATGTTTAGCCTATTGGCAAGGATGTTAGTTTTCGAATCTCTTCGTCTTTCTGTTATAAATAGCTTGACTCCAAACTAATTTAGCAATTTAAAGCTTCTCGGGGTCTTATTTAACCTGGAGACCTCAGCAAGCTCCACAACACTTTTGGCAATCGCCAGTAGTAGTTATCACCGAAATGACCCTATTCGCCGAGGATAATGGTGAAGGGCTCAGAAGCCGTGCCTGCTAGCCACCCCATCCCCTGCTGTCAGCACGGTTACGAGATCCTGAGTCAAACGAGATTGAGTTACAGTAATAACTGGGGGGAAATTCCATGAATCATAGGAATGACATTCTTTTTCTATGAACTTAAAAGACACGGGAGCTTTAGTAGACTTCTGTTAAGTGTGCTTCTGTGGAAATTTTAGACATTTGTATGTTCTAGGATTTATAAATGGCAAGTATGATGGCTGCTTTATCTTTCTGTGGGACATGCCTTCCTGTCCATTTAACCATGCACCAATCCCTTTCTTCCTAGCTTTTGGAAATGCCAAGACTGTCAGGAATGACAACTCCTCTCGATTTGTAAGTATTTGTAAAGCACAAGTGTTAACACTAATATTTAGCTCGTGCATGTGTAAACAGCCAGGAGATGTTTAATATTTCTTAATAAGCACATTGAAAAACCATTGCTATTGAAACACGGAGAATTTTATATGGATGGTTGTTGGCTTTCTGGAATTTCCCTTTTTTCATTCTTGGAGTGACAAACTATTTTTGTTTTCATGTTTTCTCATCGCCTATCCTAAGATTCCATGAGCAATTTGAATGAGGCTATTTAGAATAACTTCACTTGTCTAAATTTTGGTATTTAGAAATCATAATTAAGAATCAGAAATTAAGTAGAAGGAGGGAGAAACAGAGTTTGTATGCTGCACCGGTTTTGTCCTTTATACAGCGATACCAGGATAGAAGGAGGTGTATTCTAAAGCTCAAGAGAGACAGTCACTAGGATTGTCAGCTAATGGGGGCGGGGAGAGAAGGCTGAACAATAGAAGCTGAAGCCAATTGTTGCTTGGCATGGGGCTGAGTTAGAAAATGCTGATTCCGCTGAGAGAACTTTCCGGCTTCGTCTCCCCTCATCTCTGCATGACTGCACATCTGCCTACAGGCCTCTCCAGCTGAGCCCCACCCTGCCCCGGCCCGCCTCGGGTTTTTCCTGGAGGCAGCAGGGGGAGCGTGCTGAGTGTGAGTGAGGCTAGCACTTTGAAATCGGTTCCTTCTTTTTATTTATTCACTGACTGGTTTTAGAGAGGGAGAGGGAGAGAGAAGCATTGACTGGCTGTCCCACTTACGTATGCACTCATTCTGGTGTATGCCCTGACTAGACACAAGCCCAAAACCTTGATGTATTGGGATGACTCTCTCTATAACCAATGGATTAACCCGGCCAGGACTTGAAATCGGTTCCTTTTTTTCTAGTTTAAGGAGTTTTAAAGATCATTGACTTGATAAGCTCTCTTCTCGTACACGACTCGGGACCCATTCTGATTTTTGACGCCTCTTTGCCGCAGACCCTGCCTGCCCTTCCCCTTCCCTTCGTCAGCTCCTCTGGCTGTTCCCCCTTGGGTTCCAGTGCTCCGGGCGGGAGCGTGGCCTCCGAGGAGAGGGTTGATGGCTTGGACAGTGGAAAGCTCTGCCTTTTCCCCCGTTGGATTAGCCCTGCTGGCCCTGCTGTGGAAACATGGCTAATCTCATTACACAAATAGAAGGAGCAGCCCCAGGAGCGTGGGCAGAGAGAGGTCCTTCCAAGAGATCACGCTGCTTTGTGGAGGTCTTGTGTTTGGCTTTTTTGCAAACGACACACGCTTTACAAAAAACATGTGCAAATACACTTAGTCCACAGACCTTAAATATCAAGAAAAGCATGTTGCTCCAGAGTCTTGACTATTTGTGACATTTGAGCGCTGCTGGAAGGCTTGGCTTATTAAGTAAACTCAGAGAAATCCTAATTTAACAGAGGTGGCAGGATATGAAATTAATACTGGATTATAGGCTAAATCATTCACACCCAGCTTTTTAGTAATTTCTCTACTTGTGTGCAAAGCGACCATCTATAGCCATGTTTATGACTCATGGAAATTGCATTTCCTTTGACAGTGTGTGACGGGTTAACCCAGAATGAACTTCTCTCTTTTTTAATCCTCGCCCGAGGATATTTTTCCATTGATCTTTAGAGGAAAGGAAAGGGGGGCTGGGGGCGAGGAACAGCGATGTGAGAGAGAGACGTGAACTGGTTGCCTCCTGCTGAGCCCTATCGGGACTGGGGATCAGACCTGTGACTGAGGCCCGTGCCCTTGACCAAGGATTGAATCCGCTACCCTTCAGTCCATGGTCCAACACTCTACCCACTGTGCAAACCAGCCAGAGCTAGCATGACCTTCTCCATCTCTTCACGGAGATACTTGGTCGACCCTGTGGTGATCTCCTAGGCATGCTCTCACTTCAGACCAGCGTTCCCACGGATCGGCTGCATTCCTAGGCTTTTGAATCCTCTCTGACCTGTGCACCCACCCAGGACCTGTCATGGCGACCTGCCGCCTCGCTCTCTGCTCTGTTTATTTTCCCCTTTTGCTGTGACTCCTGCTTAAAGCCACGTTTCTCCCCGATGACTGCCACCTCCTATCAGATACCGGGTTTTCTTCCAGTTCATTGCACACCAGCCAGAGTGGTCTTGTCAGGAGGCCAGTGTGGCTGTGGCACCCTTGTTCGGGAACCTTTATGACCCGGCTGGGCTGTCAGGTGCACATCTCAATGTCACGGTGGGCTTCTGCATCCCGCCCCATCCTCTAGGACAGTGGTCGGCAAACTCATTAGCCAACGGAGCCAAATATCAATAGTACAACGATTGAAGTTTCTTTTGAGAGCCACATTTTTTAAGCTTAAACTTCATCTAGGCCACTTCTTCAATACCACTTCATGGCCACTCGCCCAGGCCGTGGTATTTTGTAGAAGTGCCACACTCAAGGGGCCAAAGAGCCGCATGTGGCTCGAGAGCCACAGTTCGCCGACCATGGCTTTAGGAGGCCAGCTCTGACGCCTGCTCCTTCCTCCTCCCCCTCCTTGCCTGCCTGGCCTCTGACGCTGAGGCAGACTTCCTGCTTCTCCGTGGCCCCTTTTCTCTGCAGGGGACCAGGACCCACAGCAGGCAGGAGGCACCCCATGCACTGTACAGTCCTGTGTCTCTCTTTCCAGCTCCCGAGGCCAAGAGGTCTGAGGCAGGAGCTGGGCCTTGGTTTCCCTGCTGACTACTTTCATAGACCTTTATAGGCCTTTACTGCATGACTATTCAGCCAGGCCCTTTTTTTTTTTTTTTTTTTTTTTTAAATGTTTTTTATTGATTTCAGAGAGGAAGGGAGAGGGAGAGATAGTAGAAACATCAATGATGAGAGAGATCATTGGTTGGCTGCCTCCGGCACGCCCCCTGCTAAGAATTAAGCTCGCAACCCCGGGGCCTTTCGGTCTGCAGGCTGATGCTCTGTCCACTGAGCCAAATTGGCTAGGGCTGTGAAGGCTTTAAAAGGGCATAAGACCCAGGATAACGGGAAGGAGAAGGCAGGAGTGTGCGAGCTAAGAAAGAGTTACCAGTGGCTCTGTGGACTGGGTGCTGGGCAATCCTGTGTCCTCGCCCTCCCCTCGATTTCGCAAATAGAAAGGAGTGTCAGTCGTTCTTTGGGAGAGTGGTTTACCAACCATCTCTCTGGCTCTTAGGAAGGTAGAACACCAAAGCTTCCTTCTTCGACCACCACACCCTTTTCCAAACAAAAAACAGCTGTCGGGCCATTCTCTATTCCTGGTTACTCTTTAACCAGGCAGTGACAGAGCAGTTCTGGGAAAATGACCCTGTGAAACGCCACATGTGCTTCCCCGAGTTTAACACGCTGTCTGTAAAGTATAACATGGATCTGGTCGTATAAGGCTGTGTCATCTAGATCAAAGCCGGTCACCCACGTGGTCCTGTATTTGATTTGATAGATATAGAAACAATACTTTTAAGTGTTCCCCCCGGGCCCCGTGTGTGTGTGTGTGTGTGTGTGTGTGTGTGTGTGTGTGTGTGTGTGGAGTTTCTAGCCATGGCTTACGCATATCTTGCCTATAAAAATGAACTGATTTATCTTCCACACGAATGCATATGCAAGGAATACATATTTCCCGCAGTTTTATTGTTGAATGGAAGACACACACCCTTCATAATTTGAAACCTACCTGAAAGTGGGAAATTTACATGATGGCCGAGATGATCTGCTCTTGGATCAGCAATGGGATATGGTAGTTGGGAGCGAATGGGGTATTTAATGTGAATTATTCCTGGAGGCATATTGTTGTGCGTCATGGTTACAAAAACGGTGTCTTTCTTAATTACATTTAAACAAACGTAGAACGGGCTTACGCTGCTGCTGTTCTCTAAGAGGGTGCTGCGCTGGCTGAGTATTGTGAGGCGATCTTGAAAACTGATCAAGTCTTTCTTTGGCAGGGCAAATACATGGATATCGAGTTCGACTTTAAAGGTGACCCCCTGGGAGGAGTGATCAGTAACTGTGAGTATTTTATCTGGATTCCTTTAAAGAAGTTTAGAATAGTAAAGCATGTGTTTAAAATGGAATATTGTCGATACCTGCGTCTTTAAGAGATGGGTGTAAGACTACATCTTTGTATACTGCTTAGACTTTTAAACTATAGGTTTCAAGTTGTCTTCTATAATTTTAAGTATTTTTTAAAGGCGGCATAATCTTTTTCCTTTGAAAAACTTTTTAGGAGTCTGCTAAAGAAATGGGTATTAGTCCAACTGTATTTTATTACTGTAGACCCTAAGCCAGTCCAGTAATAAAGAAGATTCTCCGACGGTTATTCTGTTTAACAAACCCAGCCCTACTCGAGGCTAGAGGAACGCCAGTGGGTAGGTAGTGTTTGTTGTTTTTTTAAAAATATTTTGTTGATTTTTTGCAGAGAGGAAGGGAAGGGGGATAGAGAGTTAGAAACATCGATGAGAGAGAAACACCGATCAGCTGCCTCCTGCACACCTTCTACTGTGGATGTGCCCACAACTAAGGTACATACCCTTAATCAGAATTGAACCTAGGACTCTTCAGTCCACAGGCCGACGCTCTATCCACTGAGCCCACCGGCTAGGGCAATACACGTTTTTTAAAATGAGGATACGCTTGCTGTTTTCCTTATGGAACTTAACACCAATGTGTTGTGATTCTGAAATGATTGATTCAATATTCCTTTTGCGGGCGCTGGGAAGGATTACTTTCTTACCTTCTTTCTTACAAGGATTAGACAGTAACGTGGGTCTTAACGTTTTGAAGTGTGAGCTCCACGCAGACATGCCTGCCTGCCCTCCCGTTGTTGGGTATCCATGGAGAATAAACACGAAACCCTCAGTTCTTTTCCAGGGAGGATTACTGTGTCCTCGAGAATGGGTTTCATGTGGTGCTGGTTACTGTTTGTTCCCACAAGGAAGTTGCCTTGAAGTTTGTGGTAATGGGAACACCCTGGTATTTTGGAGGATCCTTTGCTGGGGAGAGGAAAGGGGTCCATTAGTGGTGAGAGCAAGAGACTTCGCTTTGCGTAGACGGGCTGACTCAGAGTGGGTCACGGGGAGCTGCGGCCTCGGGGACTGGGGTGAGGCGCTGGGCAAACCCCTCTTGTTCTCCCCAAACTGCCCAAAGCCAGCATCAAACTTGAAAAGAAGACAAGACCCGCCGGGTTGCGGGAAAGCCTATTTTGCCTCCTTGTCCGGCCGCCGCTGGGACAGAGCAAGTTGGCGGCTGTGACCGTGACCCCGGGAAGGGCACAGGCCGTGGGCCCAGCGAGTAGAAAAGAAAGCCAGTCCCGGGCTCTCTTCCCGGAGGAGGCGGGCTGAGCCACGGTCTCACCTGAAGCCGAGAGCATCGCGGAGGGACTGTCATGAGGAGACGGGTGTAAGACAAACACTGGCAAACATCTGGTCATTTGAGATAAAATATGGAAGCATGTCCAGACGTTTGGTTGGTGGGAGATAATATTTCTTTAAGAAAATGCTTTTGTTGATTTCAGAGAGGAGGGGAGAGGGGAAGAGAGAGAGAAGCCTCAGTCGGCTGCCTCCTGTGAAGCACACATGTCCATGTGTTTCTGGGGTCTGCATCCTTTCCGCTGGGAAATTATAAAGAGCAGGCTGAGCAGAAAGCCTTCGCCACCACAGCACTGAAGCCTGGCTCTGTGGCTTGGTAACCGTGGCACGTGGGCCTGCTTTTCTCACCTGAGAAGTGGGGATCACCACGCCGGCTGGGGTGGGGCCCCGTGGAGTGAGATAACCAGGAGAAGCACCTGTGGGAGGAAGGGCAGGGCACGGCGTCCCCTTCCCCGGCCTCCGGCCCCCCCGCTTCCTCTTTGAATGTGATCGCAATCACCGATCTATCGGGCGAGCTGTGCAGGTCCAAAAGTGCACTGGCCAGCATTCCTTTTCACTCTGAAATCAAGAAAAAATTTAAAAAAATATATAAATAAAAATAAAAATGCTACAGCTTACCTCACCCATTCATGTGCAAACTCTTTCAGTCATCAGCCCACTCACTTGTTGCCCACCCATGAGCTGGGCACCGTCTGGGAATGAGTGGGCACTTCAGCTGGGAACGCTCCTCTCTGACCGGGCAGCCGCCGGCTGGAGCGGGAAGCCGCGGCCATGACTGTGTGCTGTTGTCCGGAGCAGCCCGGCCACCGTGTCGCGGTGCACCATGTGGCCCTCACCCCAGTGTGGGAAGTGTTGGTGTCTTGAGGAAGCACCGTGGTTGGCCCGTTGGCATGGGGTTGATGCGTGGCACCAGGTCATTATCTGTCCTTATCGATAAGGTGTCACTGTCGGGTAGGCTCATGCGTGGGGGACTTGGCAAGGTCCTTACCCCAGGGGGAGGCTTGGGGTGGGCTTCGGTGGTGTAGGACACCTGCCCACTGCCCCCCACTTCCACCCCATGCTTGTGGTCTCTCTCAGGGCCTGGCTTCCCTCCGTGGGCAGAGCTGCTGCTGTGGGTGTGGTTGGCGGGGGTGAGGTGAGCAGGGGATGCTGGGCGCCAAGAGGAGAAGGTCTGTGTGTTTGTAGTCAGTGCCCACTCATTCCCAGACGATGCCCGGCACACGGGGGGAGTGGTGAGTGCATGGGCTGATGACTGAAGCAGTGTGCGCATGAATGGGTGAGGTAAGCTGTATCGTTTTTATTTTTTTTAAATATATTTTTTCCTTGATTTCAGAGAGGAAGGGAGAGAGAGAGAGAGAAAGAAACATCAATGATGAGAGAATCATTGATTGGCTGCCTCCTGCACTCCCTCCACTGGGGATCAAGCCCGCAACCCAGCCATGTGCCCTTGACCGGGATAGAACTTGGGTCCCTTCAGTCCACAGGCCAATGCTCTATCCACTGAGCCAAACTGGCTAGGCCTGTACTGTTTGTTTATATACTTTATAATGTAATTGAGCTACTTTCTTTCAGACTTGAGGGATTTCTGTAAGGTTTAGCTTCTCAACGAAGAGCCGACCAGTGCGCTGTGGGTTCTTCCATTTGGAACAGGGGTCGGTAAACTGTTTGCCGCTCTGTTGACTAATGAGTTTGCCGACCACTGGTTTGCAACGGTGCTGGTGCTCTTAGCCATGGGGTGAATGATGTCAGGCTGCCTTTCAGCCTCCCCCCGATTCTGTCTTCTGGTCTGCACCTCAGCGTTGATTTGCTGGTTGATGGAAATGGCCAGTCCCTAGAGGCGATGGACACTGCATAGTCTTCCTCGACGGAATCTTGTCTCCCTTGGTGCCTTCCATTGGTTTTCTCTCTTTCGGCTCAGTAGGAAGCCCGAGATGGGTGAGGCCTTGGCTGCCATCCAGGGGATGAGCGTTTAAGAGCGCCTCCGAGTCCTGTTGCCCGTAGTGTTGTGTTTATGTGCTTTTGTTCTCTGCTTCTTGGCCCACTTTCAGATTTCCTTGAAACCCGTCTCCTCCTGCTGACAGTGACCTCAAGTGTTTGACCCCTGGGGCTTGGCATGCCACACGTGTGCACTGAACGTGACCTGGGCCGATGCTGGTGTGGATCCCATGACGCGAATTAGGGAGCTCAGTGCCATTTCCCTTCCTTCCTCCTTCCCTTTATCCCTCCCTCCTCTCTTCCTCCTTCCTTTCCTTCCTTCTCTCTATCCTTCCCTCCCTTGGAGAAAGTTTGAAAACTTGCAAGTTTACGGGATGAAAATGACCTGGAATCATGACAGCATGATGTCAAATACCACCGGGTGGCATTGAGCGAGAGCCACCTTTATTCTCCAAGGTGTCCGGCTGTCAAGGACGTGGCTCACTCTTCCCGGGGGCGGGCCAGGGGTGGGCGTGTGGCTGCGCTGCAGGGCCTGCACGTGGGTCCGGCGGCCTGACTTCCAATCGCACTTCCTCTCTCGGCCCGTCAGTTTCCTCCTGTTAAGTAATCCCTCATAAAAGGGTGGGGGACTCCGTGAGAAAAGTCTACAAAAACACCGTCAGACCTCAGACTCTTTAAATGATTTATTAGCGTAATTGCTTCGTGGGTGGGTAAAGCGGCCCTTCCTTGCCTGGTTGGACGTGCGAGGCTCCGTGCAGGAGACGCAGATGTCACGCCACGTGAAGGGGTGGTCAGTGTCAGCGTGTTGTCTCCGGGCCGGTGGTTGCGTGTGCTGTGGACCTCGCTGGGCGTGAGGCTGTTGTCTGAGGGACGCCGTGCGTTTCACCGGGGCTTCCCTTCGGGTTGCGTTCCTCCCTGGAACCAGGGGGTTTCTGATGTTTTAAAAACACAACCTCCTGTCTCAAAAGTAGTTTTGACTTCATATGGTCCTAGAACATGGCCTTGAACATGTGCCTAGAACATGTGCCTTCCGGTACTTTTCTATTAATGGGAAACGGGAGAAGACGGGGAAGGGAAGAGGAGAACCGTGGTAGGTGCGAGAGCCAAGCTAACCTGCCTGGGTTGGGTCCTGCTTCCCCATAGACCTTCTGGAGAAGTCGCGCGTGGTCAAGCAGCCGCGGGGCGAGAGGAACTTCCACGTCTTCTATCAGCTGCTCTCCGGCGCCTCCGAGGAGCTCCTGGGTGAGTCCCTGCTCCAGTCTTCGTGCCAGTGCACCGATGGTGCTCTCTCATCACTGGGCCCGGGCAGGATGTCACAATGTTTTCTAGAGCATTCTCTTCATTTCTTTCTTTCTTCTTGAATTATTTCCTAAATTCACCTTAAAAAAAAAAATCTTTAGTGTTGAAAGCATTACAAGATGCCCCATTTCCCCCTACTGACCTCTCCCAGGCTGGCCCCACCCCCACCTCAGGCCCTCACCACCCTCTTGTCTGTGTCCACGGGTTATGCCTAGACTCATACAAGTTCTTTGGTGGATCTCTTCCCTCCTGTCCTCCCTCCCCTTCCTTCCCCCAGAGCATCCTTTTAAAAAGTGTCTCACCTGCTCTCCTCTCCCCCTCACACATTTTCCGTGACCCTGGTTGAAGAACACAGTGTGTTTGCTTTGCTTCCACGCCAGTGTTGGTTTGATATATGTCCTTGTGCCTCGCCTGTCTCAAGAGGGCCTCCTAAAAGAGCTACGCATTGTGGGAGGGGCTCATGATAGCGTAAAAACAGTGAGATGGAATAATAGCTTTATTCCACATGGGGAGAGGGAAGGAGCAGGGAGCAGTGGATGCACACCTGGATGGAAGCATGGTTCCGTGAAGACTGAGAAATAAAGTGAGAAGGCGTTTGCAACTAGAGCTTGAAAACCTCCCCTCTGGAGATTTGAGAGAATGCGTTAAGTGCAACGGTGCAGCCCCCAAGCGCAATAGCCCAGCGACGCAAAGTTCTGCACAAATGGTTGAGACCGGAGGAGCTCTGGCGAGTCAGCGCCACGTGGGGGTGATTCATCCTCAGGAACAGTCGGCAAAGGCCATGGAAGCGGCTCTGGAGTGTCCACTGCACGCGCATGCGTGGGGGGTTACTAGGAAGTGGGGAGCCTGGTCTGCTCAGAGCTTGTGGGCGTCACCCCAGAGGGAGGACTTCTTCCCAAACAAGCCATGAAGTGGTCAGCCTCCCACCCAACACGCCGCTTTTTGGAACACACCCCAATGTTGTAGTTCAAAAGCACCCCGACACATGGGATAGGGGGACCCTTATCCCTGCCCTCTATTCAGCATGCCCTGGTGCAGGGATGGCTAGGCAGATATCCTGTTAACACGAAATAGGACACTGAAGACATTTTATATGATAAACCTATGGAAGGGGCCTGACTCATGAAGAATAAATGTGGGAGAACTAGGAACAACCCTGAGAAAGGTGATTTTAGAAAACAGCGATTCCTGGTTTTCCTGTTAAAAGGTGGTTCGGGCTATCGAGGTGGCTGATGGGTTTGTGTGTGTGTTTCAACAGAGAAACTTAAACTCGAGCGGGATTTCAGCCGATACAACTACCTGAGTCTGGACTCGGCCCGAGTGAACGGAGTGGACGACGCGGCCAATTTCAGAACCGTGAGGGTAAGCTTACCCTTCTCGTTGCTCTTTAAAGTGACAGCGACCGCGCTTTGTCGCTCAGTCGGAATTGGTAACAAATTGTGTCCCTCGTGCTCCGGAAAGGCTCAGGATTCCGCAAGCACGGGCTGTGTTTGCGTTGGCCGTGGTCTCTTCACTAGCGCTGAAGTGCAAGGCGAAGGCCATGCTGTATGGGAGCCAATGATTTTCCTGTTCGTCAGCAGGAGCCTCTGATTGACTCTTTTGAGGTTGCATTGAAATTCTGACTGTTTTCATTACCAGAGGCCAATAGTGCGTTTTCAGGTGGGGAAGCTTAACATAGTCTAGGACCATAGGAAGCCAAAACTATTTTTGAGACAACAGGTTGTGTTTTTAAATAGCTTCTGAGCAATTGTGACAAAATCAGGAATATTCGCCTTTAGAGAAAGTCTTTTAATTGATAGGCTGGTCTGTGTTCCCGTGGCACTTTGACAATCACTGCTTTCGGGACGTGCCGTGGTAACGGATGTTTACTTCCACCCGAGACAGCGGTGGTGGAGGGTGGGCATTGGGGGTGAGGGGTGGGCCGGATCCTGGAGGAAACTGGATTGTCACCAGCTCATCTCTGAGGGTGAGCGGGACGCCTTGCGGTTCTCTCCCTGCTCTCTCTGCTGCTATGTATGTTAGAAGTGCTGGGTGGCCTCGGCATCACCAGATAAGCTGGGCTCTTCTCGGAAAGAACGCGTGTCTCCATGGGCGTCCCTATTAAAGCTGTGGACACTGTCGAAGGCGAGGCCTCCGGAGTCCTGGACACAGTTGTGAGACGTGGGTTCTAGACCAGCTCTCCAAGGACTCTGCCTGGCAAATCGTTGGCACTCAGTGCAAATTTATGACTGAACGGATGTGCCTTGTTACCCACAGTGCCTTGGGTCGGTTTGCAAACTTCATCTTTGCAACCACACTTGTTCTCATGTGTAACGTGAACGAGGAGGTTATGGAAGGTTTTCTTTCCAGCAGTAGAGTTCCAGTATAGAAGATGGATGTATACACACACAGAAATAGGGTGGGAACCCAAGACTCAGCACCCAGCCTCCTCTGCCTTCCTGACCCCCCGCCCCCCACCTTTGTCACCGCCCCTAAGGGACCCTGGGGGTTCCCAGACCCTCAGCTTGAACCCTTGCCCACGAGAAAGCCCCACTGGATGCTGTATTTTGGGACACTTTGTCTTTTTGGTGGTGGTTGTTTTTGTTACTTCAGAAACAAACGTGTTATGTGACTCATTTAAAAATAAATAAATAAATAAAAGGACTACAGAAAGAACCCGGGTGTTTGTCCCCCAGAATGCCATGCAGATCGTGGGCTTCATGGACCACGAGGCCGAGGCCGTCCTGGAGGTGGTGGCCGCAGTGCTGAAACTTGGGAACATCGAGTTCAAGCCCGAGTCGCGAGTGAACGGCTTAGACGAAAGCAAAATCAAGGATAAGAACGGTAAGTCCAGGCGGAATCCGCTTTGTCCGGCCAACGCGTCCTGAGTGTCTGCCCAGCATGTTTAGTCCAGAGAGGAAGCCTCGCTTTCGATTGGTTCCAAAACGGCTTTCTAGTGAAGCTCCCAGAAGCGTGCTCACAGCTGCGTCCGGGGTGTCCTGTGCAGTGTGGGGTGAACGTGCTGCAGAGGGACTCCTGAGCCAGGAGCGTGGCTCTGAGGGCACACCCAGTCACCACCCCCCCCCCCCCCCCCCCCACAGAGCTGAAGGAGATCTGCGAGCTGACGGGCATCGACCAGGCGGTCCTGGAGCGTGCGTTCAGCTTCCGCACGGTGGAGGCCAAGCAGGAGAAGGTGTCCACCACGCTGAACGTGGCGCAGGTGGGTGCGCCCAGTGCCCCGATGGGGACAGACACACACACACACACACACACACACACACACACGACTCGGGGTGTTCAATAGTTTTACATCAGGGGATGCTTGAATTTTATCATCAGGTTATTGGTTACCACTCCTTTACCAGTTCTCAGAGGCTTGACTGGCCATCCAGAGTGTAATGAGAACTGGCTTTGAGCAGAAGTTTGGGATAAAAGAGCTGTACATGTGTATTTTTTTAATCTTATTTTATGGGAGGTAAGCACTGTGGTCGTCGGGGAATGTTGAGTTTTTCTTTTTCTTTCTTCTAGGCGTATTATGCCCGGGACGCTCTGGCTAAAAACCTCTACAGCAGGTTGTTCTCATGGCTGGTGAATCGAATCAATGAAAGCATCAAGGTACGGAGCCTCCCGAGCCAAATAGATCCGTTGCAATAAATGGCATTTGGAATATAAACTTCAGGCGGAAAGATACCTTAACTATAATCAAATCATTGGTTACCGTGTACCGGGGTTGTTCCTTGAGGAGGATTTCCCTCGTGTGGGGTTGAAATCTCTCGGGTTCTGTTTTGCTGTGCCATGTTGTGAGCAATCTCTCTAGTGAATAAAACAGTCTTTGCGGACTCACTCTCAGCATCCTGGCCCCTCTGCTGACTAGTTGGACACCCTGCCCGAAAGGTCATATGACCCCCTCTTGTTATTACCATTCTTCCATCAAATGAGGGGATTGGCCTGGGCAACTTTGAAAGGCCCTGCCTGTTGTGAGACTGAGCAATCCTTTTTCATAATTAAGCATCACTACTGCCTTCCTTAAATGTCATCTGCTATTCAAATTTCTGAAAGATTCCATGCCAACCTCTTTCTCAGACATTTAAAACACAACACTAAGGCCGAAACCGGTTTGGCTCAGTGGATAGAGCGTCAGCCTTCGGACTGAAAGGTCCTGGGTTCGATTCCGGTCAAGGGCACGTTCCTTAGTTGCGGGCATATCCCCAGTAGGGGGGTGCAAGAGGCAGCTGGTCCATGTTTCTCTCTCATCGATGTTTCTAACTCTATCCCTCTCAATTCCTCTGTGTAAAATCAATAAAATATATTTTAAAAAAACAAACAAAAAAAAAACACAACACTAAGTCACAGTTATGCTGGTTACAAGTCACAGTTGACTTGTAATCTACCTAATAAAAGAGTAACATGCTAATTGGCCTTACCTTTGAGATGCCCACCAGCCAATCAGGAGTGAGTATGCAAATTAACCCAACCAAGATGGCAGGTTAATTTGCATATGCAGGCCCTGGCAATGACACAGGCATTCTGCCCCACCCCTGACACTCTGGGACTCTGGGCAGCGTGGGAAGGCAGAAAGGCAGCTCCACACCAGAGCAAAGGCAGTGCCAGGGGAAGAAAGGCCCATTCTCGCACGAATCTTCGTGCATTGGGCCTCTAGTGTGTGTATACACACACACACACACACACACACACACACACACACACACACATATATATATACACACTAGAGGCCCGATGCACAAAATTTGTGCAAGGGGCTCGGCCCTCGAAACCCTCCCAAGCTGCTTCGCAGCCCTGCGGCCCCACACACTGGTCTTTCCAAAAGGTCATTCTGCCATCATTTCTAATTAGCATGTTAGCTCTTTGCTAACCTTGCTGTGCATTTAGTGTCACTTTCATGCCTAAATTAACCCATCACTTTGAAACTTTTGAAGGCACAGACCAAAGTGAGAAAGAAGGTCATGGGCGTTTTGGACATCTACGGCTTTGAAATTTTTGAGGTACGCTTTTTTTCTTTTCTTTTCTTTTCTTTTTTGTATTATCTTTGTTAATTTCGAACAGTTGGAAATTAACTCTTCCATAGACAATATTTATATAATTTATATAAATCAACCAATGACCTCTGTGCAGATATAACAGGATGTGTGTGTGTGTGTGTGTGTGTGTGTGTGTGTGTGTGTGTTTGGATGTGTTTTGAGTGCGAAGAGTGGCATTTTGGAAACACTGCTGTGTGTAACAGAACTTCCTGTGTTAGCACCTGACTTTTGAAACGGCAAATGCAGAATTCTTAGCGGGAAATTTCCAACAAGGTGTGTGGACATTTTTCCTGAGGTGTTTGTTCATTTATTTGTAAGCTGTTTGGAAAGAGACAGGATGGTGCTGCGAAAAAGGAAGGAACAGCTGGGTGCTGGCTATGCCCAGCAGCGCCGGTCACTTCGTCTCTGTGCGACCCACACGGGGAAGGGGGGATGGGGGATGGGGCTGCTGAGTTAGAGGTTTAGTGTGTCTCACCGGCTGTGTTCTTACACGACGAATTCTGCCTCAGGGTTGAAATAATTCCTGCTGAAGTTTTTTAAAAATATATATTTTTATTGTCTTCATGATAACTCATTGTGCTCTCTGTTTGCCTGTCTACATCTTCTCAGACAATCCTCCAAACATCTTGATTTTAACAACTTCCTTATTTTATAAATAGATTTAGTTGGGGAAGTCAGAATAAAAATTTGGTTGGGCACTCCCACATGCCCTTTGGTACCGAATTAGCACACGTCTTTCTCCTTCTAATACATACATACCCCAACGCCCCGCTCCGCTGTCCTGGGTGCTCTGAATAACGGGAATCCGTGAAGGTCAGAGGCCGGGGGCGTCAAGCGCCCGGGAGCCAGGTCACAGCTGTGGCCTCGGGAGGAGGGAGCAGAGCACTTCAGTGGTGAACCTGAGAGTGTCTGTGACGCTGTCTGCGTGCGTGGAAATAACCTGAGCTCTGAGAGGAGCCGTCTTTGTCCCATGAACACCGACGGCAGGAGTGAAGGTCGGTGGTTAGAACACCCTGGGCCTCGCTTGACTCAGTGGACAGTAAAGGCCCCAAAGTTTCTGTTTCCGAATCCTGCCTGGTGGCCTCCCTGACTGTTCCCAAGGACACAGCTACAGCTGAGCTGGCAGAAACCTGGCATGCGTTCGGTCCTTCTCTAAACAGGAGCTGGAGCTGATGCCCAGCAACCTTGGTTGCGGGCACATCCCCAGTAGGGGGTGTGCAAGAGGCAGCTGATCGATGATTCTCTCTCATCGATGTTTCTAACTCTATCCCTCTCCCTTCCTCTCTGTAAAAAATCAATAAAACATTTATTTAAAAAAAAAAACACACACAAAAAAAAACACAGCCCCACGGCACAGCCTTACCCAATTACTAGGGAGAATGTATCCTATGAATTTGTTTTCTAAAAAAATAAAAACAAATATAAAGACCTGCTCATATAAACCGTTAAAATACTGATTTTTATCTCTAAGGTTTTCATTTGTGTTAATAGCATTCTATGAGGGCCTATTTTACCAAATGAAGAAAATCAGAATTTCTCCCGTATGTAATGTTGTTATATTGGTTATAACAGCAATAATAATAGTAATAGTAATACATCTTTACCCGATTGGCTGAAGCTTCTAACCTAATGGTTAACCTCTGAGGACTGCAGCACCTGGTTTTAAGTCTTTATGCGAAGATGGGGACTGGAGACTGCCTTTGTGTCTAAGACTCTGTTTGTTGAAAGTATTGAGCATCAAGATGTGACCTCTATAAACTTCGGGATTTAAAAAAAAAAACCTTTATCCTTGACTGCATTTAACATGAAAGGATCAGCCGTGACCATATACATGTGTCATCTACAGTTTCTAGTCCAAAGTCCTCTGGTTAGCTGGCCCCTCCCTGTGGTGAGCCGACTTCCAGAGGAAATGTGGCCAGCTGCCTGCGCTTTGCATGTTTTGCACGTGTCCTTTCAATACTTACGTCCCAGATGGGGCCACAGTTGAGTTGAAAAGATCAGGTTCCAAAACACTCTATGACTTCCTCGCTTTTATTAAGGGGAGATTCGAAGGCCGGAAGTTCCATGGAGCCACAGGGAGGGGCGATCAGTTCTGTGGTTTGCAGACCCTCTCAGCTCACTCATTTAACTGGGCCTGCCCCCCCCCCCGGCCTCCTCCAGGGGGAGAAGAGTCAGGCTGATCCTGGTGGAGTCCCACCATCCTTTGCTCCCAATGCCACCGTCCATGTCTGTTTCTCTCTCTCTCTCTCTCTCTCTCTCTCTCTCTCTCTCTCTCTCTCTCTCTCTCTCTTTGCAAAGAGGAGGGATAGAGTTGAAACCCACTAGTTTTATTACCAGAACTACCTCTTCCTAGACCACATGGTTTCAATGAAGGTGTCCATTCAATAGACGAGCATTTTGTGCCTCCAGGATATACCTCCCAGTGGATTGACTGTTCAGAGATGGTTTAGGCATGATTCACCCACCTGATTTCACAGGAGATAGCTCTACTAGGAAGGAGAAAGTGCTGAGAGTCATAAGAGTAGTAGCTCTGTGAGCTTTCTGAGGAGAGATTATTTCTAAGTAGGAGACGGTTTTGACATGCTGATTCCTGTGAGTTGTCTTTCTGAAGGCATGCTGTTCACTCATTGGCTCATCAGATGCTTATGGAGTCTATTCATTGGCTCATCAGATGCATATGGAGTCCATTCATTGGCTCATCAGATGCATATGGAGTCTATTCATTGGCTCATCAGATGCATATGGAGTCCATTCATTGGCTCATCAGATGCATATGGAGTCCCTTCACTGGCTCATCAGATGCTTATGGAGTCTATTCATTGGCTCATCAGATGCATATGGAGCCCATTCATTGGCTCATCAGATGCATATGGAGTCCATTCACTGGCTCATCAGGTGCATATGGAGTACTTATTAGGTGCTAGTTGGGGTGCTGTTGTGCCTACATTGTGAACAAGGGACCTATAGTTAGAAGTGTACCTTCTCATGAGACAGATGAACAAGAAACCAATCAATACATATGTACACACATCTATACACACAGGGAAGCCTTCTTGAGCTCCAAAGTTATACTTGAGAATAAATAGAAGGTTGAAAACTTGGGTGATAGATTATGGAGCTATGTTTTTTCCTTCTGAATCTTCAGGGGGAAATGTGTTTGTTTATATTCTTTACTGTGTGTGGGATGTTCCACTGAAAATCTCCATCCTTCACATACTGCCTCCTTGTGTGTCATCCATTCATTTGCTTGCCCCATGGACGTTTCTTGTGTGCCTCAGAGTGTGAGCCTCCGTCCTGGGGGCCGTGTGCCGGGCCCCAGGTCAGTTTGAGGCCAGGCGTGACGCTGCTCGTGGAGTGAGAGGTTAGAGGTCGTGGTTGTGGGAGAGCTGATGGCATGGCTCCTTGTTTTCCATACAGGACAACAGCTTTGAGCAGTTCATCATCAATTACTGTAATGAGAAGCTGCAGCAGATCTTCATTGAGCTCACCCTTAAAGAAGAGCAAGAGGAGTACATACGGGAGGTAATGTAGACATACCATTTTTTTTGCTTGTTTTTTAAATATATTATTATTATTTTTTTTTTACAGAGAGGAAGAAAGAGGGATAGAGAGTTAGAAACATTGATGAGAGAGAAGCATCGATCAGCTGCCTCCTGCACACCCCCCACTTGGGATGTACCCGCAACCAAGGTACATGCCCTTGACTGGAATCAAACCTGGGACCCTTCAGTCCGCAGGCCAATGTTCTATCCACTGAGCCAAACGGTTTCAGCAACATATTGTTTTAAAATATCCCCTGTTCATGCAGGATACAGATTCTGGATTCAGAGGCTGTACAGCCCTGACCCTACAATCAGTGTCCCCTAAGTGCAGCTACCTGCTGTCTTTTGAACATTAATTTTGTCTGACATCTGGGCCAATGGGGTTTTTTTTCCCCCCCTGCTGTGCTGCTGGTGCCTGGCAAAATGTGTGACACACAGCAGGTGCTCCATAAATACCAGCTTAGCGACTCCAGTCCCCCAGGGTTTTACTGCAATGATGGGACGTGATCCTGTGTTCAGGGAAGTCTGACGTGAGTGGACAAACAGCTGTGGTACATCCACACCATGGCGTACTGCATAGCCTGCCGAGAGGAACCAACCATCGAGGCACACAGTTGCCGGAGCGAATCTCACACTAGGCTAAGTGCAAGAAGCCAGGCCAGAGGCTGTCGATTGGACGCTTCTGTTTGTGTGTTGTTCTAGAAAAGGCGAAGCTACGGAGGCCAAGTGATAAAGACAGGCCAGTGGTCACCAGGGGCAGGGAGCAGGAGAGAGTGGGACTGCAGAGTGGGGAGCGCCAGGGACCTTGGGGGCTGACGGTGTGGTACGTACGCGACACCGTGCATTTGCCAACACTTAAGAGAACCGTCTGTGGAAAAACACAGTGGTGTTGTTCCATCTTGGAAAGCACTGGTTTTCTAAAAATGTATAGTGAAAATAGGTCACCTCTTTTGAGTGTTTGCTATAATGCCAGCTATTATACTAGTGCTATGGAGACGGTCTCACTTAATGACATCCTGTATGATAAGAGAGGAAGACGCTAATTATCCATTACGCTGTGAGGCGTAATGACCGACTGACCGTCTAACAACCGGATCACGGATCTGCAGCAGAGTGGGGCAGCAACCTACAAGCAGGTGGCGGAGAGCTACAGGAGAGGGCAGGGCAGTGGGCAGTGAGCTACAGGAGGGCAGCAGCAACCTACTGGCCCACAGATTTGTGCACAGGGCTATTAGTTTAAAAATAAGAAGGAATGTTTACAAAGTCCTTTTATCCTTAATGGTAAAGCACATAGTTGGTTTTTACCCTTTTATTTTTATTATTTATTTTTTTAAAGTAGGTTTTATTGAATTTTTACAGAGAGGAAGGATGAAGAGTAGAAACATCAATGAGAGAGAAACACTGATCAGCTGCCTCCTACCCACCCCATATTGGGGATGTGCCTTTGACGAATCAAACCTGGGACCTTTCAGTCCCCAGGGCAATGCTCTATCTACTGAGCCAAACCTGTTTCGGCATACCCTTTCCCTTTTATTTTTAAAAGTCAATCTTTAAGTACAAATTTATTTCAAGAAATGAAAGGGAATGACTTCATGTGTTTTTATTTCCTTTTCATTTATTTGCCTTAATATTATAGAACTATTGTAGTACAAGGGTAATGATAGTAGGTATTCCTCATTTTTATAGTGTCATTTGAAGTCATTAAGGATGCAGAATTCTCTCTTTTTAAATGTTTATTTCTCAGTATAGACTTTTCTAATGTGATTTTTATCCCCATTGACTTAGTAAAACAACCCATTTCCTTGAAAGCAACGTCATAAATATTTTCCTTTTAGCATGATCCCGATGCTTTAGAAACTCTTGTACTGGTCTGACACATTTTGGTAACATAAACATCCTAGAAGCCAGATTAATCCGCTTCCTGTCTTTTCATCGTAAAGAGAATGCGAGGGCTTTGATCTGTAGCTTTAAACAGTTTGTATGGATTGCCGAGGACACTTCTGAGCAAGGGTAGGAAGCTGCCCCGCTTGCTGGGTGAACCCATTCTTTCCCTTTAGAAGAAAAGTAACTGTTTACACGGACGGGCAGGATGTAAGCAAACACAGACCATTCCATGTGGCCTCAGATCAGCTTCTGTCAGGGCCTGGGGATCGGCTCTCATGTCCCTCCTGAGGTTGAAGGTATTTTCTCTCCGCACCAAACTGTCTTTACACGTGAAGTAAATAGCTCACTGCTGTCCATCGTGGGATTCACTGAACTTAATGTTCCCCATGGATTACAAATTAAGAACAGGAAAATCGAGGCCTTAGGTTCTTGGGATCAAGTGCTGACTTCTTGCCGTGTAAACACTGTAAACACACACAGTAATGTTGATCCAAGGGCCTGTGGAGTCCGTGTCTGGCCCAGGGCCAGGGAGAAGCATGGGAAAGGGCCAGAGATAGGGGAGCAGAACGGGCGGCTGTCACAGAGCAGGTCCAGGGTGTTCATTTCGATGAGGATGTCAGGGTGGACCTCTGCTTAGGAAGCGTGGGGTCCTGTCCTACCAGTTAGCTCAGTGGATAGAGCGTCGTCTGCGGACTCAAGAGTCCCATGTTCGATTCCTGTCAAGGGCATGTGCCTTGGTTGCAGGCACATCCCCAGTGGGGGGTGTGCAGGAGGCAGCTGATCAATGTTTCTCTCTCGATATTTCTAACTTTCTCTCCCTCTCCCTTCCTCTCTGTAAACAATCAATAGAATATATATATATATATTTTTTAAAGGGGGGGGGGAAAGAAAGCAAGCCTGGGGCCTGGAAGATGGCATTGGCAGCCCTGATTTTACTGGGAGCATGGAGACAGGAAGTGAAGGACAGTCGCTGGGCAGGAGCCATCCCCTGTCGGGTGGGGTTGCAGCATCGTGACGTGACGTTTGACTTTCCGGTCTGTTTTCCAGGACATAGAATGGACGCACATCGACTACTTCAACAACGCCATCATCTGCGACCTGATAGAAAACGTGAGTGTTGGGCACGGCTTTCTCCATCTCCCGGTGACACAATCCCCTCCCTGCGAGCCGTCTGCCTGCCGTCAGGGCTAAGCCTGAGCCTTCCCTTCCTGGGGCGCTTTTCTCCGGGAACTGCGGAGTCCATAGGCTCTGCTCCAGCCCTGGGGGTCGCACGTGGTTCTTGAACGATGGCCTGGACCACGGGAGGTTTTGATACTCAGCCCGATTCCCTGGGCATTTCCAGTCGCCATATCATGATGTTCCCGGAGCGCAGGCCCGGCTCTTGCGGGTGTGGACCCCGGGCGGAGGAGGCCCGGAGCAGCCGTGCAGAGTTTTTGCGGAAGCAAAATAGCCATTTCGTTTCTAAAGCTCCAGCCACTTCTTCCCACCCGGTTCGGTGGTGGTTATCACAAAGATCATTTCCATGGGGCACGGGGAGACAAGGGAAGCCTTGTGTGCTGCTGCTGGGGATGTAAATGGGTGCCGCGGCTATGGAAAACACTGCGGAGCCTCCCTGAGAGATTAAAAATACAGCGACTGTGGGATCCAGCCCTTCCACTTCTGGGTCCGTAGCCAGAGGAAGGGGAGCCGGGGTCTCGGAAAGAGGTCTGCCCTCCCGTGTTCGTTGCAGCGTTAGCGACCGTAGCCAAGAGCTGGGGGTAACCTACCAGCTTCCTCTGTGGGTAACGAAGGTGGGATGGGGATCAATGTGTGAGTATTACTCAGCCAGGACCAGGCAGGAAGCCCTGCCACTTACAGCAAACTGGGCTAGACCTCGAGGACAGGATGCTCCGTGAGAGAAGCCAGACCAAGACAGATGCTCCAGGACAAGAGCACGATTATCTGAAATTTAAAGAAAGCCACACTCAGAGAAACAGGGTGCTGTGGTGGTTGCCAGGATCTGGCAGGGGGGATAAAGGGGGAGGGGGAGTTATAAGAGGATTAGGCTCTGGGAGGCAGAGTACAGCGAGCGGACCGGAGCTAACAATACTGCATTATGTACTTGCAAGTTGCTAGGAGAGGAGGACTTACGTGTTCTCACCACACAAAGAAATGGTGATTGTTTTGGCGATAGTGACATTAGCCAACAGCTGTGGCTGTATTGGTAATCGTTCTGCAGTGTATGTGTGTCAAATCAACAGGTTGTCCACCTTAAACTTGACGTTATATATGTCAGTGACATTTGAAGAAAGCTGGAAAATGTACTTACTAAATTTTTCTTTAAAAAAAGCATGGTATTCGAAGGTAAAGGGACAACCTCAGGAGCTGGGCGGAGGGCCCTGGGAGCTGGCCAGGTGTAAGCGCCCATTGGTTCAGAGCATGTGTCGGGAGAGACTGCATGTGTGGCTTCACAGGTGGCCACGGCCATGGATTTCTCAGGAGACACAAATATGTGTATGTATACGGGGAAAGGCTTGAAGCCTGAGAAATTACAGGATACTTTTTAGTAAGCTTTCTGAATCTAAGATTTTTGTTTCCATATCATATTATAAACTAGAGGCCCAGTGCACGAAATTTGTGCACTTGTTGGGCACGTTCCTCAGCCCGGGCTGTGCCCTCTCGCAGTCCTGGATCCCTAGGGGAGTGGGCCTAAGATGTCAGTAGGACATCCTTAGCATTGCCATGGAGGTGGGAGAGGCTCCCACCACTGTTGCTGTGCTCGCCAGCCATGAGCCCGGCTTCTGGCTGAGCGGTGCTCCCCTGTGGGAGCGCACTGACCACCAGGGGGAAGCTCCTGTGTTGAGCGTCTGCCCCCTAGTGGTCAGTGCACATCATAGCAACGGGTCATCCTGCCATTCTGTCGATTTGCATATTAGCCTTTTATTATATAGGTTGAGTTGATTGCAGGAACATGGGTTTGTTCATGAAAACTCTTTGTTTTATGCTTAGGATAATGAACCGTCCTGGCCTTGATAGCAAAGTAGTTAGAAATAGTGCGTGACCTTGATCATCCTGCAGCCTTCATGTCAGTCATAGGCGAGAGCCATGCACCCGGAATGTGGTTACAGGCACTCCATGTCCGGCCTGTCCCTTTCTATAATAGTCACTGCTCACAGTCCTTTTAGAAAGGATGGAATTAGCCTGTTTTTTTCTCTCTCAGACAATCCTGATGAAACCAAACATTAAAACAGTCTTCTAGCCCTAACCTGTTTGGCTTAGTGGATAGAGCCTCGGCCTGCAGACTGAAGGTTCCTGGGTTCGATTCTGGCCAAGGGCATGTACCTTGGTTGCAGGCACATTCCCAGTAGGGGGCATGCAAGAGGCAGCTGATCGATGTTTCTCTCTCATCAATGTTTCTAACTCTGTCCTCTCCCTTCTTTGTGAAAACCAGTTTCTCTAAATAAAAGCCTAAGTGATCATTTGACCATTCATCCGATAGCTATGACACGCACTGACACCAGGGGGCAGATGCTCAACGCACAGGGATGGAAACATGGAATAGACTGATGAATCTCAAAGGGAAAGGGGAATGGGGCAGGGTGGGAAGAGATTAACCAAAGATCTTACATGTATCTTAGAGGCCTGGTGCATGGATTTGTGCACCGGTGAGGGTCCCTCGGCCTGGCCTGCAGGGATTGGACTGAATGTGTGCACTGGGCCTCCAACATTCTCCTAGGGGTCCCAGATATTGAGAAGGCACAGGCCAGGCTAGAGGAACCCACCGGTGCACGGATTTGTAAAATATATCTAAAAAACACCAACAAAACAAAACAAAAAATCCCAATATTCTAAAGCACCGTTAGTTTTCAGTTAAAAAGTGAACTTTGTTTGGAAACCTCTGAACGTTGTCGGAATGTGAACACCGATATCCTTAAGCAGTTCAAAGCACGAGTCTAACATGCGGAAAACCAGTGGATTTTTCTGAAAGTTTCCCCCTATAAATTTTGTGACCGAGGAGTTTAACTTTCGGAAGTCATGACTAACATGTTTCTCTTCATAAACACAGCATTGCACTTCATTATTTCTTTTTAAGGAGGAAAAACAACAGTGGTAATACGCTAAATTTAACCAGATTTTTCTCAGCCGAAATTCCCCTTGTGTGTGTGATGGAAGAGACTCCATCTGAGTTCACGTGGGAGCCCGGGTCCTTACAGGAAGCGTTTCCTTCCAGAATCACCTAACAATGAAGCTTCCTCGGGGGCCGTCCACCCCCTCGCTCCTGCAAGCCCGCACATCCTGGGGTTTGGTGGGATTGAATGCATGTGGGGCGGAGGATGTTATGGCCCTGTGTGTCCCACTGGGGACTTCCCTGCTGGAAGGGGTGGGGTCGAAGGTCAGGGGGGCGGATCGTCCTCGCGGAGTGGACACACAGGGGCTCCAGAGGCGGTCGGAGGGGCAGAGCGGAAGGTGCCGGTCTCTGGCCCAGTTTCGTGGGCTCCCAGCTTGCGGGATGAGTATGATCACTGGGTCTGGTGCCCAGCCCGTGCTCCCTCCTGTTGGACATCCATGCAGAGGTTTTACAGGGAGCTGGAGTTCACGCTCAGCAGACACCCTTCCAGCACAGCCCGGTGGCTTTGATTGTTCAAAGCAGCGCCCAGGGTCCCTTTTTTAGCTCATTTCCCCAGAAAGCGAGCTTGGCTTTGAGCACACGGGCCGTTTGGAAACGTCCGACGCCAGCTTCCTCCTCCAGCTCGGGATCGATCACGGCCCAGGCCGGGCTCTGTGGTCTGTGACCAAGTGTTGGAGAGGCTGTAACCTGTCACTTGAGTTTCTGACGTTTGTGTTTGCCGTGGGTCTGAGGCCTCACTCACCTGTTCCTGACTGTGTGAACGTCAGCTCTTAGCCAGCTGCGGGCACGGTCACGCCGGAGCCTGTTCAGTGGGGGGAGCATGGGCGGGGGACGGGCACAGGGTGTGCCCCCCCCAAACACACACCCCCGGACACAGGGCGCGCAGGCCTCTGTGGTGTTGCTTGTCTGCTTCCTGCTGCTCCTGTGCGTGAGCGGTGCCTCCGGGCCGGGGTGACTGTGGGCTGACACCCCCCCTCTCCCCCCCCCCAAGAACACCAACGGGATCCTGGCCATGCTGGACGAGGAGTGCCTGCGGCCCGGCACCGTCACCGACGACACCTTCCTGGAGAAGCTGAACCAGGTGTGCGCCACCCACCAGCACTTCGAGAGCAGGATGAGCCGGTGCTCGCGCTTCCTCAACGACACCTCCCTGCCCCACAGCTGCTTCCGCATCCAGCACTACGCCGGCAAGGTGGGGGGGCGGGCAAGGTGGGGGGGGGGGCGGGCAAGGTGGGGGAAGGGGGTGGGTAAGGTAGGGGGGCGGGCAAGGTGCGGGGAGGGGGCCAGCAAGGTAGGGGGGGGCTGGCAAGGTAGTGGGGTGACAGGGTGAGGTGGGGGCGGGCGGGCAGCAGGGTAAGGTGGGCAGGTCGGCAAGGTAGGCACCGGCAGGGGAGGGGGCCCTGGAGGGCAGGCCCACAGGGATGGAGTCAGGGGTCGTGTACTAATTGGGGGGGGGGGGAGTTGATGGATGCCAGGCGTATCAGGGTTCACTTCATCGCTTCTAGGAGGTCTAACCACCATGTGTGCACCTGAACCTAACAGAAGGTTGAATGCCAGCTGCAGTTGAACAGTTGGAACGTAAATAGTAGAATCAGGAAATGTTCCACAGAATCTGGACCACGTCGAGCAAAATCTTGCTAATGCCCAGGCTGAAAGGAAAGCCGGTGAACTTCATGACAGAGTTCGAATGTGTTCTAAAAAATGATTTTATTATTTTCAAGCTCTGAGCTGTCCTATAAAAAAGATCTATCAACACAAAGGGGATTTGCCAGTAAAAATTTAAGTAATAAGGTTTTAAAATACAAACCACTTAGGAAACAATATTCTTAGGTTTAGAAATGACATGGGAGAATATCTACTTTAAAAAAAACACATTCATTTGGTTAATATCTGGGAGAATTCATTTTTAATGTTAAAAGCAGTTTTAATAATAGGTTAATTTTTATACTTCTAAAAGAATATTGCATGCAGTTAATACTTCTTTTGTTATAAATAAGACTGCAAACTCCAAAGGGGGAAAATTTTTTAATTATGTATTTAGTAAAAATGAAGTACGTAGTTTTTGACCTACCTTTAATTTTAAAATATTGAAACTTATACTTTATTTTCTTCCTTGGCCTATGTAATTAAATATATTTTCTGGTCAGTGTTGCTGCTGGCTTGGGATGTCGATGAAAATTTGGTCTTATGTCTACTTTATTTCTTCCTGTGCACTTTTTAATTTTTTTAAACATATTTTTATTGATTTCAGAGGGGAAGGAAAGAGAGAAACACCAGTGATGAGAGAGAATCATGGATCGGCTGCCTTCTTCCTTCCCCACACCGGGAATCGAACCGTGACCTCCTGGTTCATAAGTCAGCACTCAACCACTGAGCCATGCTGGCTGGGCCTTCCCGTCTGCTTTTAAACAGACTAGAATTGGCACTTGTGAACTAAAAAAAAATAAAAGTTAAACCTCAAAAATGTGCTCAAACACCAAAAAAAAAGAGATTCCTTTGAAAATGCTAAGCCTAACATTTTTGGAGTTTATTCTTACAGATTCTGAAATGGTCATAGAATTTACTCAAAACTCTTCTGTGAGTTAGGCAGTTGGCCTTTACCTTGGACGCTCATTCGGCATCAGAGGGCGACTCACGTGCTGGGGACCTGATGGGGAATATTTCATCCTGGCGCGCGAGTGCCCGTCACTGAGTCTCGTGTCGCTCACAGGTGCTGTACCAGGTGGAAGGATTTGTTGACAAAAACAACGACCTTCTCTACCGAGACCTGTCCCAGGCCATGTGGAAGGCGGGCCACACCCTCATCAAGTCTCTGTTCCCCGAGGGGAACCCCACCAAGATCAACCTGAAGCGACCCCCGACCGCCGGCTCGCAGTTCAAGGCGTCCGTGGCCACCCTGATGAAGAACCTGCAGACCAAGAACCCCAACTACATCCGGTACTTCGGGCCCCCACCTTCCCGAGGGTTCATGGGGGGAGGCCCCTCCGGGGAGAGTCCTGTCCTGTCTGCTCAGCCTCAGCGCAGCCCACGCAGAGGGTAACGAAAGCATGCGCCGACCAGATGACACCGTGTCACAGGCTTGCTTAAAAAATGCCCCAGTGCCCCCTCTGCCCCCCAGTAAGGGATTGAAAAGGGGGGGAAGGTGGCACAGACATTTAATGGAATTGGGTTGTTGATACGGGTCGGGGGTCTCAACTTCCTGTATTTTTTTTTTAAGTAAGTGATTTAAAGATGTTGAACAAGGTATGTTCTTAGTTTAAAGAAGATAAGCAATAGGCAGGTTTTTAAAAGGATTCTGCATAAACGGTTGGATTATTCTGGGTTTGTTTTATGTTAACTTGGTAGGTTGGAGCGAGGGGGTCTCAGTGCAACTCTGGTTTTCGGGAGTGTGTGCCTCCTCCTCTCCCTGGAGGGTGAGGGCCGGGAGGAGGAGGTCTTTGCTAGCCCAGAGGGAGGTTTCAGAGCAATGGCGACACTCGGAGAAGCCTCTGGGCTCCCCCTGTGTCCTGGGCAGCTTGGCCGGCAGGTTCAGGGGAGACGGCACCGAGCGGAGTCACTCTCGGTGCATCTGGGGAGCGAGGTACTGGGAGCTGAGTGTCAGGTTGGATTCCACCCGCACACACACACACCCACGCGCCTTCTCGAGTCTGAAAGCCCAGTTACCAGGAGACAGCGAGGAACGCTTTTGTGTTTGGCTTGTTTACCTAAGATTTCCTTAGCAACATATGAGCAGGCAAAATCCCCTGTTTGGTTGCACTTTGAGTAGAACATGTTAATTAGGTAACAACCCTGGTTTCATAAGAAGATAACCAGGAACCTTATGACCAGTTTCTTTCCTGATTTTTTTTTTTTTTTCCAAATGGGTAGATGTCACCCTTTGGTGCCCTCTTAAAAAGGAAGGAAGTACAAGGACATCGAGACACTGAGTTGCTTCTTTTAAATATGTTTTTATTGTTATTTATAGTGAGAGGAAGGGAGAGGGATAAAGAGATAGGAACCTTGATCGGCTGCCTGCTGCACGCCCCCAATCCAGGCATGTTTGCTGACCCAGAATCGAACTCATGATCTCTGGGTTCAGGGATCGGTGCTCAACCACTGAGCCACACCGGCGGGGCATGGCACCGGGTTTTTAATCCCTTCATTGAGATAAATGCATAATGAAATATGGCCAAGCACGTGAGTGCTTCTTGTACTCCTTGTTGAAGTTTCACATGTATGTGTGACTGATTCAGACCAAGATACACAACATTTCCATTATCCAGAAGGGCCCTGTGCCATCCCTGTCCCCGCCCCCCCCCTCCCCTTTCCCTCGTCCCCGAGGTTGCAGCAGGACTGATTTCTAACCTGAAGCTCTCTGAGCATCCTAAGGGGATCATGAAATGTGTCGTCTATGTCAAACTTCTTTCACTCAGCGAAAGGGCAGGGGGACTGACTCATCAGGTTATTGCAGGAGAGGGGGAGAGAGACACATCCGTGATGGGAGAGAGTCACTGATCAGCTGCCTCCTGCATGCCCCCCCCCTGGGGATCAAGCCTGCAAGCCGGGCATGTGCCCTGACTGGGAATCAAACCCGGGATCCTTCAGTCTGCAGGCCGCCACTCTATCCACTGAACCAAACAAGCCGGGACAGGACTTGCTTTTTTATGGCAGTAGAGGTAGTGTCTTAAATTTTGGGCTTTTGAAAAGTGACTTGAAATAATTTCAAAAGGAATGACTAGGTTTCCCAGTAGTGAGTCCTCATCTCTCATGTTGGGAGACCCAGACAGGGGTTATCCCTGGGGGCAGAGTGTAACGTCCTGGTTTCCTTTCAGGTGCATCAAGCCCAATGACAAGAAGGCCGCCCATATCTTCAGCGAGGCCCTGGTGTGCCACCAGATCCGGTACCTGGGCCTCCTGGAGAACGTGCGGGTGCGCCGGGCGGGCTACGCCTTCCGGCAGGCCTACGAGCCGTGCCTGGAGCGGTACAAGATGCTGTGCACGCAGACCTGGCCTCACTGGAGAGGGCCTGCAAGGTGAGTGCTCATCGGCCATGCCTAGCTGTGAAGTCTTAAAGCACACGACTCACCCGTGTTGTTCACAGGCTCCGAGGCAGAACCAGTGTATGGAACATGGGATGGAACCGCTGCTTCATACCCTTTTCCACCCGGGTCATTCTGTGCTAACCTTAATTCATTGTAGAAGTCTCAGTTTTGGGGTGTGTTTTTTTTTTAAAAATTTATTTTATTGATTTTTTTACAGAGGAAGGGAGAGGGAGAGAGAGTTAAAAACATCGATGAGAGAGAAACATTGATCAGCTGCCTCCTGCACACCCCCTACTGGGGATGAGCCGGCAACCAAGGTACATGCCCTTGAACGGAATCGAACCTGGGATCCCCCCAGTCTGCAGGCCGACGCTCTAGCCACTGAGCCAAACTGGTCAAGGCAGAAGTTTCAGTTTTCCTTAAGATCCAAACGGGGCTTACAAACTCATGCTGGCAACTTACCTGTCCTGTGGTCAGTCAGGAGGGGTTCATAGTTGATCAGTGCATTTGTATGGAGTCATGGAGGGTACAGTTGGACAGGCATGTTGGACCACTGCTCTCAGCCGAGAGGAGGACTAACCTCAGGGAGAGTCCAGGGGTGGGAGCGAGGGTCCCACTTTTTACCCAGGTCTGTACGCCTGGGTAGAATCCAAGGTGTCAGTATCTTTGCTGGCAGAACTAGATGGGAGGCAGGGGCCCTCCTCAGAGGCATGTACATAATAAAATACATGTCTGCCTCCCCGGCCCTGATGGCACTCACCCATTCGGTCTCAGGCGGAGCCTGGGCAACGGCAGGCCGCTCCCTGGGGAGCCCCCCACGCTCTCCATGTGCAGGGAGAGCTGCTGTGCTTGTGGGGTGGGGGATAGGGGAAGAGTGGCTTCCAGAATGAAATCAGGCCTTGCCTGTTAGTGACCCTCCAATCATTGAAGTCACCCCTTTTGTTGTTTTTAATACATTTTATTGATTTCAGAGAGGAAGGGAGAGGGAGAGAGAGAAGCATCAATGATGAGAGAGAATCACTGATCGAATGCCTCCTGCACCCCCTCCCCCCACTGGGGATTGAGCTCACAACCCGCATGTGCCTTGACCTAGGCCAGTGGTTGACAAACTCATTTGTCAACAGAGCCAAACATCAACAGTACAATGATTGAAATTTCTTTTTTGAGAGCCATTTTTAAAACTTAAACTTCTTCTAACACCACTTCTTCAAAATAGGGGTCTGACCTGCCTGGTGCTTGACGCGCAGGTGGTGGGGTGTTCAGTTGTAAAGACTGAGGTCGAAGCCAGGGTCCCGGACAGAGAGATTAGCCACAGCCAGGCCTCGCTCCCGTCCTGGAGGCCCACATCCCATGCTCTCACTCGTCTGGCACTGAGCACTCTCTCTCGGGCTCTGTCCACACCCTGATGGGCAGAAGCAATGTTTAAAATATCCTTGAGAATCAACGGAGTGAGTTAAAAATAGGTCCGAGTCCCTTACACCCACCCCTTCCTGGCCCAGGGGGTCCATCGCTGTGGGTGTATTTGATACAAGTGTTGCTTCTGGGAATGAAATCAAGACCTTGGCCATCGTACCACCTTTTCTTAGAGTATGCAGTTCTGAACCCAAGTTTGCTCTTTTGGCATCTCCTGGGCTCGGTTTAATTTGTGGGGTTCCGTCTTGATTCTTCGATAGAAGGATACTCCCTGAAAGAGCGATTGTGCTGCTTGGGAATGGGACTGCTGTTTGGTGCCACGGGGAATCTGATAGCGTGATTTCAGCTCCGATAAGCTGCTTCGGTAACTCGGAACGCTCACTGTTTTCATTGTTTTGCAGGGCTGGTGTGGAGGTGCTGTTTAATGAGTTGGAGATTCCTGTGGAAGAATATTCCTTCGGCCGATCCAAGATATTCATCCGGAACCCGAGAACGGTATGCCGCCGAAACCTTTCCACTCCGAACGTACGTCTCATCACGGGGACGGGTCCTCAAAGTCTGTCCCACTTGGGGACGTGACCCCCGATGCTGCCAAGAACGCCCCGCCCTCGTTTTATCTCGAAGGCCCAAGAGGAGGGGCAAGTGCGGGGTCATGGCAGAGCGCGTGTGTTTCTTATGAGACGTCCAACACCTTTGATTGATTGGACAAGGCCGTGCAGGAGAGAAATCAAAAGAACCCTGTTCCTGCAACAACGCCTCGCTAATTCGTAGGAATCGGAGATAAACTCAGTCTGCGTCTGTAATGTCTGCATTATTTAACAATTTAAGGAAAGGCAGCCCTATTATCTAGAAGTACATGAAGGCACTCAAAAATTTTTTTTAAGTTAAAAAGAGACACTTAAAATTCTACCCTGTAGGACTCTAAGGAAGGCTTTGCAAATGAATAGACAGGGGACAGAGTACAATCCGTATAACAGTTGATTGGCGATTTGGAAATCTGGAGAATTTGGAATGGGTTGCGGATTTTTTTATTTTTAATATATTTTATTGATTTTTTTACAGAGAGGGATAGAGAGTTAGAAACATTGATGAAACAGAAACATCAATCAGCTGCCTCTTGCACACCCACTACTAGAGATGTGCCCGCAACCAAGGTACATGCCCTTGACCAGAATGGGACCTTTCAGTCCGCAGGCCAACGCTCTATCCACTGAGCCGAACTGGTTTTGGCAAGGGTTGCAGATGTTTAAGAGGAACGAGGCCAGCTCCTCTCTTTGACTGATAAATGCACCCTCCTGGGTGGTGTGCAGGCACACCTGAGCTGCGCTCAGCCCTCCCCTAATTCCTCCCCAAGTGCCTCGTCTCTGGAATCTGAATGGCGGTGTCAAGGTGCTGTTTGAATTCAGTGCTGCGTGAATTCGTCAGAATCGTTTCCCTGTGGGCTGTGGGCCTTGAAGATAGTGTCTGTTATGAAGACAGTTAGTTACTCTTGTTTCTTCTCAGCGCGGTGGCTTCCACCATCGTGCCCTCTGGCCTCCCGAGAACCTCTGTCCGGGATGCCAGGAGTGTGTGCTGGGTCTGTGACGGGCCTGCCTCTTGTTTCCTTGCAGCTATTCAAGTTGGAGGACCTGCGGAAGCAGCGGCTGGAGGACCTGGCCACACTCATCCAGAAGATCTACCGCGGGTGGAAGTGCCGCACGCACTTCCTGCTGATGCGCAAGAGCCAGATCGTGGTTGCCGCCTGGTTCCGGAGATACGCCGTGAGTCCCGCACCCAGCTGCCGAGTGTGCCTCCCGTGGTCTGTGCATGCCTTTGCCCCGTGCCTGACTCTCCCAGCGAGCCCATGAAACACGTGCCTCTGTGGTCCCTTTAGGCTTAGTTTTTAATTTTTTTAAATCCTCACCCAAGGCTCTTTCCCCATGGATTTTTAGGGAGAGTGGAAGAGAGAGGGAAAGACAAAGGGAAATATCGAGGTGAGAGAAACACACTGATGGGTGGTCTCCTGCACGAGCCCCAACCAGGGCCTGAGCCAGGGAGGAGCCTGCAACTCAGGTGCGTGCCCTTGACTGGAATCGAACCCGGGACCCGTCAGTCAGCAGGCTGATACTCTACTCACTGAGCCAAACCAGCTAGGGCTCTGGTTCCTTTGTAAAGACGAGAAAACGACTGCATGACCCGTTAGGGAGCTTGTCCACAGTCACCCCGTGCTGAGTGGCCGTGATGCGATTGGGATGCAGGACGTCTCCCGTCAGCTCAAGTTCCGTGTGTCACAGCGCCTCCCACTGGGGGAGATAGGGTGGGACGTCCCCCTCTCAAACGTGGTCACGGACCGAAGGAGACTATGTCCTTTAACCCCTGGATAGTGGTAGAGTCAGCGTCTTCAAAACCATTGGTTCTTCTCCATTTACTGTAGCAGCGCTGACAGTGGCTTTAATTTCAGAAAGCGGAGGCCACATGTTCGTAGAGTTTGGGGTTTGGCTAAAGGGTTGGTCGTCGTCGTCTTTTTTTTTTTTTTTTTTTTTAATATATATATTTTTTATTGATATTTTACAGAGAGGAGGAAGGGAGAGAGATAGAGAGCTAGAAACGTCGATGAGAGAGAAACATCGACCAGCTGCCTCTTGCACACCCCCTACTGGGGATGTGCCCGCAACCAAGGTACATGCCCCTGACCAGAATCAAACCTGGGACCTTTCAGTCCGCAGACCGACGCTCTACCACTGAGCCAGACCGGTTTCGACAGGGTTGGCCTTCTTTAGTTCTCAGACACGTGGCCCTTCCTGCTGGTGGGGGGTCTCGCGTGGCTGCTGCTGGGAGCTCCTTGCCTGGGAAGTGCAGCACTGAGAGGGGTGTGGGGTGTGGTTCGGGGTTGTTGTGTGTTTTGGTTTCTTTACATGTTGGTTTCCGGGAGGCACATGGGTGACCAAGAAGCAGTGGCACCAAGCGAGCAACCCACGCTTTCTCCCATGGTCATCCGAATAAATAATACAATAAGCGATAACATGGGAAGGCACCTTTCTGCGTGCTCAGGGCTGCACGCCTGCTTCCGCCCGCCCCCGTGTGTGCTAACACCTCCCCTCCCTCCTACAGCAACAGAAGCGGTACCAGCAGACAAAGCGCTCGGCTCTGGTGATCCAGTCATACATCCGGGGCTGGAAGGTGAGTGACAGGGATGGGCCTTATTTATACTTGGGGCCCTGGGGTCCCTGCAGGGGGTCCCTCCTGCCTGCTGCCTGCGCCCTACACAGCCAGGCGGGAGGATAGACACTGGCCAGCTGGGGCCCCGGTGGCCCAGTCTGGCCGCTTCCTCCTCACTGGCTTTCTCTTCCAGAGCTTTGTTCTTGGAGCAGGAAGTCCTTGAACTAATTTTGTGCGTGATCTCGACATCCTCTCGCCCTGCTGGCAAGGGAGGCGGTGTGTAGTCCAGGCTGCCGCAGGGGGCCCTCACCTGTGCAACCCCCGCCCCCCAGACCTCCCTCTCCTGCCCCCCCCCCCTCCCCGCCGCCTCTCACTTCCTGACCATCATCTTTCTGCTGCCCTGTAATGCACACATGGTCAGGAGGTCCTGAGCTCTGGCCGTTTGAGCGGGGAGAATAGGTAACAGTGGGGCACCTCCTTGGTCTGGAGGTCAGCAAACTACGGGCCACGGGTAGTGTAATAGTTATCGCATGGCCAGGACGTAAAGAAAGGTTTTGATGTTTTTAAAGCATTGTTAGAAGACAAAGAAGACGGTTTTATGTAAAAAAATGATATGAAATGCAGATTTCCTATAACAAAGGCAGATGTGAACCCCAGAGTTCGTGCACGTAAAGCTTGGTGCCGTCGACCACGCCCACTCTGTCTGCCTCCTGTCTGCAGCTGCCTTCGCCCTGCAGTGGGGCGCTGATGAGTGGTCATGTGATCTGAAAAGCCCAACATGCTCGCCGGCAGGCCTTCTGCGGAAAGTGTTGCTGACCCCACTCGGGGTCAGAGGTACTCAGGCCTGTGCTGACCCTATCCCGTCGGAGGTTGTGTGGATTGGGCTGAACCTGGAGCCACTACTTCAACATGCCTGGAACTGCTTCAGAGAGAGGCCTGGACTCATATGAGCATAACCAACGGACACACACAATACGCGGGGAGGCGAAGAGAGGTCAATGGGGAAAAGGGGGGCATAAGTAATACGTTCTTTTTTTTTTTAAATATGTTTTTAGAGAGGAAGGAAGAGGGGGAGAGAGATAGAAACACCAACGATGAGAGCGGATCATTGATGGGCTGCCTCCTAAACTCCCCACACTAGGGATCCAGCCTATGACCCAGCCATGTGCCCTTGACCGGAATTGAACCTGGAACCCTATAGTCCGGAGGCCGACGCTCCCTCTGCCCTCTGCTGAGCCAAACTGGTTAGGACTGTGATACTTTCAACAATAAGGAATTTTTAAAAAGGGACATGGGCCCGTGGGCCAGGTGTCTAATGAGCTTTGTCTGGGCCCACGAACAGCCTCAGGACATAGTCCTCCCTCAGCAAATGCCAGAGACCAAATCCAAGCCTGTAGCCCAAGTGCTGTCGCCTCCGGCAGATGGGTCTTTGGCCTCATTACGGAGCCCTGGGTGGGGTCTCCAGCCCAGCGACGTCAGGGGCAGGACACAGGCCCCACCTCCAGCCAGGCCTCCTGCCTCCACAAGATCAGTTTCCAGCAACTGCTGGAGAGAAGCGTTTTTGGACGAGAGAATTTCATATTAACACAACTTTAAACGTTGCTTGAATTAAAACTATAGCTACAGCTACGTCCTCCGATGACAACAATACAGAAAGCGATGGAACGGATTTGGGAGGGTTGTTGGAGATCCTGCAGCCTCAGTGTGAGGCCTGCTCCTTCTGTCTGCTGTGCGCCAGCTTGTCTGGCTGTGGCCCGGTTTTCCCCGTCCCACACATGGGCGTGTGAGGCTGCTGTCCCAGGCTCAGTGGGCGCTACCCTGTCGGGCTGGATGTGTTTTCACTTAGGAATTCTCATCATCCATCTTGGGCTAATTAGCAGCGTCCCCTTTTATTTATATGCTAGAGGCCCAGTGCATGAATTCGTGTGCCAGTAGCCCTCTTTGTGACCTGGCCACTCCACGCCCGCCTTTCCATATCAGAAGGAGTCAGAAGCTTCAGACAACAGAGACCCATCCCAATTCCGGGCGAGCCCCTGGGGCACCCACTCTCTTGCACGGGGAATCTGAGACGGTCAGGCAGAAACTCAGGGTAACCGCGGAAGGCAGAGGTCAGGCGGAAACTCAGGCAGGCGCACAGGGGCAGGGCTGATGGGAAGCCAAGACTGTCAGTTCAGCCCTGAGACTCCACCCCATCCAAGCCTTCTGCAATTTTGCAAGTCTGATCCTATAAGACTGTCTCCAATACAGAAGGTATCCCAGAGTAGACACAGCTGATACCTACAGCCAATTGGCCTGCAGGTCAGTTCCTCCCAGGGATACCAACAACAATAAAGACTTAGCTACAACAGGGCTGTACATGCAGTCCATAAAGGGGAGCACCAAGAGTGTCTACCTCAGGTAACTAAGGAGGCTGACCCACTGGGCCATATAGGACACCAAACACACAAAGCCACCCTACCAACTCTGGGAAGTAGCGAAAATGCCGAGACAAGGAAATAGATCTCAAACGAAAGAGATGGAGGAGAACAAAAGGCTTGATATAGAGTTCAAAACCACGGTTATAAGGTTTTTCAAGAATTTCCTAGAAAAGGCCAATAAATTTATTGTGACTCAACTAGAAATTAAACATAAACTGACTGAAATAAAAAATTTTATACAGAGATCCAACAACAGACTGGAGGATCACATGAATCAAGTCAAAGATTTGGAATACAAAGAGCCAAAGGATACTCCTCTGGAGAAGCAAGAAGAAAAGAGAATCCAGAAAGTTGAAGATAGTGTAAGGAGCCTCTGGGACAACTTCAAGTGTACCAACATCAGAATTATGGGGGTGCCAGAAGAAGAGAGAGTGCAAGATACTGAAAACATATTTGAAGAAATAATATCAGAAAACTTCCCCCACCTGGTGAAAGAAATAGACTTACAAGTACAGGAAACATACAGAACCCCAAACAAGAGGAATCCAAAGAGGAACACACCAAGACATCATAATTAAAATGCCAAGGGCAAAAGACAGAGGATCTTCTAAGCAGCAAGAGAAAAGCAGTTGGTTACCTATAAGGGAGCACCCATACAACTGTCAGCTGATTTCTCAACAGAAACTATGCAGACCAGAAGGGAGTGGCAAGAAATATTCAAGAACCTACAACCAAGATTACTGTATCCAGCAAAGTTATCATTCAGAATTGAAGGACAAATAAAGAGCTTCACAGATAAGAAAGAGTTAAAGGAGTTCATCATCATCAAACCAGTATTATATGAAATCCTGAAAGGTATTATTTAAGAAGAGGAAGAAGAGCAAGTGAATTAAAAATCCGAGGAGCAGAATAAACTGGTGAATATAATAGAATCAGGGGCAAAGAAAGGGAGTGGATTGATAATTATCAGGAGGAAAGGGGTGTGGGGGTGCAGAAAGCGACTGGATTAAAATTGTACACCTATGGATGAGGACAATGGCGGTGAGGGGAGGGTAAGGGCAGAGGGTGGGGTGGGAACTGGTTGGAAGGAGATATGAGGGGAAAAAAGGAGAAACAATTGTAATAATCTGAGTGATAAAGATTAAAAAAAAAAGTAATATGCAAATTGACTCATTTCAAGACACAAGATGGCTGCCGCCATGTGATCAAAGATGGCAGTCTTCATATAGACTCAAGATGGCTGCCACAAGGTAGCCAGCAGGGGAGGGCAGTTGTGGGCAGTTAGGAGTGACCACACAGCAGAGGAGGGCAGCTTTGAGGGGGCAGGCCTGCAGAGGAAAGCAGTTGAGGAGGGCCAGGCCTGCAGGAGAGAGCAGTTGGGAGGGATCAGGCCTATAGGGGAGGACAGTTAGGGGCCATCTGGGAGCAGTTAGGCATCGATCAGGCTGGCAGGGGAGTGGTTAGGGGGTGATCAGGCTGGCAGGTAGAAGTGGTTAGGGGCAATCAGGCAGAGGCAGGGGAGTGATTGGGAGCCAGCAGCCCTGGATTGTGAGAGGGACGTCCAACTGCCTGTTTAGGCCTGATTCCACCAGGACAGTTGGACACTCCTCAAGAGGTCCCAGATTGGAGAGGGTGCAGGCTGGGCTGAGGGACAAACTCCCCTACCCCCAACCCCCGTGCATGAATTTCGTGCACCAGGCCTCTAGTGTGTGTGTGTGTGTGTGTGTGTGTATAATATAGAGAGAGATAGCTATACATATTATTGATTTCAGATAGGAAGGGAGAGGGAGAGAGATAGAAGCATCAGTGATGAGAGCCGTGGATTGGCTGCCTCCTGCACACCCTCTCCTGGGGACCAAACCCACACCCCAATTGTGTGCCCTGACTGGGAATTGAACCGCGACCTGGTTCACAGGTGGACGCCGACCACTGAGCCGTCACGCCGCCAGGTGCCCCTTTCCCTTTCCTCTAAGCTGTGGGTCCTCCATGCGAGGAGGGGGTTCGGCGGTCTCTCCGGGTTTTCTCAGGTCACCGCGGCTCCCATTGTCGGCTAACCGTGTGTTCTCCCGGCTGATTCTGCACCGCAGGCCCGGAAGATCTTGCGGGAGCTGAGGCACCAGAAGCGCTGCGAGGAGGCCGCCACCACCATCGCGGCGTACTGGCACGGGACGCAGGTGGGCCGGCCGCCCGCCACGGCGGGCTCGGGGCGTGCAGAGCTGGGCCCTCTCCTGGGGCAGGACCGTTCCGGCTGAGCTCCTGAGCACGCTCTGCCTCTGCGCTCTCTGCCGCTCGCTGGGTGCGGGAGGGGTGGCGGGTGGCACGCGCTGGCGATGACCGTGTGGCGGTGACGGTGTCTGTCTGCCCTCCTTCTCCGTGGGACACCGCGGCCGCCTTTCCCGCCTCACGCGCTCTGTCACTCCTTGTCACACGCTTGCAGGCGCGGAGGGAGCTGAGCCGGCTGAAGGCGGAGGCTAGGAATAAGCACGCTATTGCCGTGATCTGGGCTTTCTGGCTCGGAGCTAAGGTACTGACGCGCATCCCGTCCCCCGGCTCGCATGTCAGGGTGGATGACTGCGGTAGCAGGGCGTGCGCAGCGCACGTCCCCGCGGCTGGCGTGCGCGGGCAGGAGCCGTGGGGGGCATCAGTGCCGGGGCAGCTGCCGCATGCATAGATAGGCTAACGGGACTGTGCTTACTAACGAGGGGCTAGGTAGCTGCTGATTCATTTAAACTCTAAGGGGGCTTGCATGTTTGGTTTTTCCATTTCCCCTTTCTCCCTGCCCTGCCATGTACCGGCCTCTCTCTGGAGGTATCCCACGGGGAGGGGGGCGGGCGGCGAGGGGCATGTGGAGAATGGTCAGATTTGAGCCTCCGTGGAGCTGCTGCTACCACATGTGGACGGCAGAAACCCCTTAACGCATGCCTTAGAGCCGTGGTCGGCAAACTGCGGCTCTCAAGCCACATGCGGCTCTTTGGCCCCTTGAGGGTGGCTCTTCCACAAAATACCACGGCCTGAGCGAGTCTATGTTGAAGAAGTGGCGTTAGAAGAAGTTTAAGTTTAAAAAAATGTGGCTCTCCAAAGAAATTGCAATCATTGTCCTGTGGATATTCGGCTCTGCTGACTAGTGAGTTTGCCGACCACTGGCCTCGAATGTATTAATCCGTGAAGGAGGCGATGTTCCAGGCGAACGGCCGCCCTTGGTTACCCTAAGCCAGATACTCTGTGTGCAAAGAATGGCCTTCTGTGATTTCACGGGAAGCCACGTCCACCCAGAGCCAGCTGGGATGGCCACGGAAGAATCCCAGGCATTTCCGCACCAGCTGTTTGTTTTCTGAAACGAAGGCCTCTGGGGGCCCTCGCTGATCCCCAGGCAGCGTCCTGGGCGCTGTGAACATTTTACGTGCCCCAAGGGGCCGGGTCCTTAGAGTATTGGTTCCTCGGGGGATCAGAGGTCGGCCCTGCTAAAAATGGGAGCCACGTCCTGGGTATGTAAGTCACCTTCCCAGCGTGATAAGCCCATCTCTGGGGGAAAAGCGAGAGGGGACACTTACCTGCAGAACGGTCTTACGTGGCCACAACCTCCCCGAAGTTGTTTGTGTGTGTTTCCTCTTGGAAATCGGTGGAGAACACACTATTCTCTTTATCTTTAAAAAAAAAAAAAAAAAAAAAAAAAAAAAAAAAAAACCTATATATTTTCATTGATTTCAGAGAGGAAGGGAGAAGGGGAGAGAGAGAAACATCAGCGGGGGGAGAGAATCATTTGATCTGCTGCCTCCTGCGTGCCCCCCTGCTGGGGATGGAGCCTGCAACCTGGACATGTGCCCTTGACTGGAATCAAACCTGGGACCCTTCAGTCCGCAGGCTGATGCTCAACCACTGAGCCACACCAGCTGGGGCCAGGCTGGTCCCTTGAGCAAACAGGGGGACAGAGTCCTAGCAGAGGCAGAGGGACGCAGAGGTTGTGAGTGCGTGCCCGGTCTGCCCCACAATGCAGCGTGAAGCCAGTGCCCGGGTATTCCTGCCCTTTCACATCACGTGCCTCCGATGAGCGTTCCCCTGAGATTGACTTTTAAACCTACAGATTGTTTCACTTTTTATCTCAGTCTATTTCCCCGTTTAGGGCCTTTGCTAAGATTACATTTTGATAGCACGCTACTTTCTGTTTTCTAACCGGGCAGAATTTTGAGGGAGGAACAACCTTTATTCTTCCTGTTTTCAGTGGTTGCCTTTTTACACATCCGATTGCATGGCCCCGGGGCTCCCCCCCTTAGCCCCTGGGCTGGCAGCAAAGGCCAGTGTCCCCAAGTTCTTAGGAGCCGCGCAGAGTCCCAGGCTGTGCAGAGGGAGAGGGAACGGGGGAAAGGCAAAGGATGGAAGTTAGGGGTACAGGAGTGCTACCCTGGGGCCACGCAGGCTGCCCTCCCCTGGGACCATCTCCACATGGAAAATAGCAGGCGGACCAGCCAGATGCCAAGCCTGTGGGTGGGTGGGCCTGCCTGCAGGGCCCTCTGCCCCCTGGACCCCCTGCTCCTGGCGGCCGCTGTGGTGGGTCTCCTCCTGGTCGTGTGCTGTCTGCCTCTGGCTGTCTCTCTCACTCTCCGTCTGAAACCTTCCAGGCTCGGAGGGAGCTGAAGCGCTTGAAGGAGGAGGCTAGGCGCAAGCATGCGGTCGCTGTCATTTGGGCTTACTGGCTTGGACTGAAGGTACTGCCTCCCCTCCTTTCCATTCCGGGCGGCGCGGGGCCTCGCACTCACTAACCGAGAGCTCACGGGTCTGCACCGGCTCCCGGGGGCCATCTTGCCGGATGGTGTTTCCTTTGGAAGACAAAGCTGTACACTAATGTTTTCTGATCTTGTTGTGATGTATGTCTTTATTTCTTTTTATGATTGTTTCTCATCCTCCCCCAAGGATGTGTTTCCATTGATTGCTAGAGAGAGTGGAAGGGAGGGAGGAGGAGAGAGAAACATCAATGTGAGAGAGACACATTGATGGGTTGCCTCTCGCACGTGCTCGGTCCGGGGCTGGGGACCCTGCAACCGAGGTACGTGCCCTTGACTGGGAATCGGATCCAGGATCCTTTGGTCCAGTGGCCGAGGCACCCACCACGGAGCCATACCGGCTGAGGCTGGGGTGTATTTCTTTAAGTACGAGGTTTAAAGTAATGCCAGGGCAGCACACTTTATTTAAGACTCTTTGTGAGGAAGTTCTGTTTTATGTCATCTTTAGGAGGATGACATGTGTTGTTGTGGTTTTTTTTTAATTCGTGAGACAGAATTTCAGCAGCTGAGCTGGGAGCTGGCCCAGGTCTGCAGTGACCGCCCAGCCTGGGTGGAGGGGGGCAGGGCAGAACCTGGCTCTGATGCCCTTCCCCCACCGCCCCTGCTCTGATGGCTGCTGGGCAGAGCCTTCTCTAAGTGACTTTCAGTCTAGTTGCTCAGCATAGGAACCAGAGGATTCTGCTCCCAGGTACAGATTTTGACAAATACAAGGACTTTACAAGCCAGTGAGGCTTCTAATGTATTTCCAAGCGGTGCTTCCCACTTTAGGTGAGGATGCAAGCAGGCAAATGAGACTCTGAGCTCTAGAAAACCTTTAGACATTATAAGGGTTTTGTCTTTCTTTTTTTTTTCTTGTTTAAGCCTCACCTGAGGCTATGTTTATTGATTTCAGAGAGAGAGGAAGAGGGAGGAGAGAGAGAAACCTTGGTTGCCTCCCTTACGCGCCCCAGTCAGGGATCAAACCCACAACCTAGGTGTGTGCCCTGACTGGCAATCAAACCTACAACCTCGCTGAAACTGGTTTGGCTCAGTGGTAGAGCATCGGTCTGCGGACTGAAAGGTTCCAGGTTCGATTTCGGTCAAGGGCATGTACATTGGTTGCGGGCACATCCCCGGTAGGGGGTGTGCAAGAGGCAGCTGGTCGATGTTTCTCTCTCATCGACGTTTCTAGCTCTCTATCCCTCTCTCCTCCTCTCTGTAAAAAATCAATAAAAATTATATATATATTTTTTTTTTAAAAAAGAAGAAAAAAAACCCTGCAACCTCTTCTGGTGTATAGCCGCTCCAGCTGACCGAGCCACCTGGTCAGGACGGGCTTTTGGCTAACCTTCAGCCCCCCTTGGGAGCCATCCACATGTCTTAGGTCCCTTTTGATTCCTCTTTGTTATTTTTACTTGAGTATTATTACAGTTTATCTTTTTCTAAATAGTTGAGTATGATTCAGAAACCATTGGCCTTGACTCTGAATAGCATTAGCAGTATCCACAACTTCTACTTTGAATAATCTGCACTTTCCCTTCGAGTTTTAGCATATAAACTTTTAGTAAATTCACCTTCTTGATTGATTACATTGAATATTTATCAATGAATTTTTAAAGTAATGAAGGAACTTTAAAGATCTTCTGTTTTAAGAATTCTGAACCAGATCTATAGCTACTTTCTAAAAAAAATCAAACGAAGGATTTCATTTTCCATTTTACTCACCTGTTCCAATTTGCATCCTAATGACCATAAGGAATGGAGCCAACCCCACCGGCAGGATTTTTACCTCCGTGAGGATTGCTACCAGCACACCATGGTTATCTTCAGTTTTCTGGGTTTAACTGGGTGTGATTTAAAAAATACTTGCACGTTAGGAGCGTGTGCTCGCTTAGTAGAAACCGGTTTCAGTGTGTGGGCAAACGCTATTTTAGCTGAAGGTACCTGGGCTGGACATAATCATCTTTCCCCCCCCCCCAGTTCCTATCAAAACAGAAGCATTTCATGTTTCCATTTTTAGAGGGTTAAGTTTCTCTGAATTCCAAAAGTGCAGTACTTTTATACATTTTACTGTAAAGAAGGATGTTGGTAACAGCAGTAGTTTTGCCCCGTAGATGACGTGATTTGTGTGGAATTAATGACAAAGGTCAGCAGGCCCCGTAGGACTCCGTGACCCCGTGAAGGGAACCGAGTCTGTGTGTCAGCCTGTGGTCTCAGGCTTCCTCTGTGTGTAGCTGTCGCTTGGGGAGGAGGGCCTGTCCTGTGACTCTCAGGAAGCACATTGCCGTGAGCTCACCTACACGGATGATTGCTAGAGTCGGGCTTATATGTCCAAGGATAGGTGTTCCCGAAACCTCATGTTAACCTTAAAGTCCCTGCATCCCTGCGCTGCTATAATTTCAGGAGCCATTTTCCTTGTCTTTGTCCCCTGTAAGTTTGAGGTTTGAAATGGTTATGAATCTGGCAACTCCACAGCCGAAAGGGAAATGAGCATCAGTCACAGAGACGATGAATAAGAGGACGACTTGCCTACATTGTATGGGGAGGGTGTTCACACCTCAGTGCTGTGCAGGCATGGAGAGAGGGCCTGCTGGCCCTCACATCCCCACAGGGACCAGGCTGGCCCCCGGGGCGAGAGACCTGGGGGGGGGGGGGGTTGGAGTAGCCACTGGGGCCTCCGGCAGCTTAGAACGTGCATTTCCCTTCTGAGGGCAGCGAGCACTACTCAGGGCCACCCCGTCCTCATCACATGGGGATGGCCCGCTGTGGCTGGACCTGAGGACACTGGTTAGAGAAGCTTGCCATCTGAGCTCCTGTGTGAAGTCCTCATTTTAAAGACACATGTGAAACACTTTTCTACAAACTGAATTTGGTGAGCAGGTTGCTCATTCCTGGTGGAGAAATAGCTTAAGCCTACAGTTTAACCCAGAAAACTAGAAGCGAAAGGTACCCATAGTGCCTGAATGATTCAAGTTGGCAAATATCTTGCGAAAGCCTAACTCTCCCATTGATAGCTTAATGATAACAAATAGTTTATCTTCCCCTCAATTTCAAAATTTAACTGCATTGTTCATGCATTCAGCAAACGCCTGGCGCCGGTGTCTTGTTAGACAGTAGCATACCGCGTGGCTACAGCAGGTAGCCAGCGGGAAATGGCTGTAAGGTGATGTCTTCAGCGCAGCGGCAGTATCCCGGGGAGAGATGGGTAGGAGTGGGGATGAGCGGAAAATCATTGCAGTTAGATGGAAGACAGTGCTAGTTCACATCTAATTCTGTTCTTATTTTTAGTACCCTCCCATTTCCAACTTCGTATGCATGGCTTTTGGAAACGGCAATGTGGTTCTTCAGGCCTTTTTTTTCCCCCCCTTTTAAGAGCCATTCCAAATGAAAATCGCCTCCTGTCATCTTTTCCTGAAGCCTGCTCTGGTCTGGGACGCATTTGCTGCTATAAAAGGGCCTGTAAGATGTTTCTCATCGAATCATCAGGTTTCTGAGCAGTTAGTTAAAAGGGTTTAAAATACCGCAATGCCGGGCACTGCCACGGGACATGTCTGCATTCCTCTGCCTCTGACCTGGCGCCGGGCTCGGCGTGCGCCCGCCGTCCCCCTCCCTCCCGAGAGGCACCTACTCCCCGCTGACCCCCATCTGCTTCCCCCTCAGGTGCGCCGGGAGTACAGGAAGTTCTTCAGAGCCAACGCAGGGAAGAAAATCTACGAGTTCACGATCCAGAGGATTGTAAGTCTGCCTTCTGGGCACCATGGGCCACGCGCTGACACACCAGCTGTCGCAGGCGCCTCCCGTGCCACGCTCTGTCTTTGTGGTCACACTGAGCCAGTGGCCTCTCCCTTTCCTCGCACGCAACAGCATTGTCCCGGGAGAGCTCTCCGCGGCCCACATGTAGTTAATAAGATGTCATTGCTTAAATAAAAAGTTATTATTTGACGGGGAGAACACACGTTGGGGGAACACGAGCCGGGAAAGTCGGGTGTTGTCATGCAGGCTGCTCTGACCACAGCCCTGCTGACCGGGCGGCTGGAAGGGTCAGCATCTGCTTCTCGCAGACCTGGAGGCGGGCACCGAGGAAGATGTTGCTTCTATTTATAAATAGAATAGTCCAGTCTTAAGTTAGGAGATTAGTCTTTACTATGGGATTAAGTATCAGTACTGTTGAGCTTAAACGCTTTCTTAGTTGATGGCTGCTTTTAGGCCAACTGTTGTGGGTGGCTAAGACTTACTCTCTAATGGGGATTGTATTCCTCGTCTAAAAAGCTGTACCTTTTTAGATTATTATTATTTAGATGAGGGTCGCTGGGCAGGCTGTCGGCTGTGGCGATGGCAGCAGGGAGGAGAGGAAAGCCGCTCTCTTCCATCCCTTCTGATCAGGGTGCCAGGCCCATCATGGGAGCTTTAAACTTCATTACCTCCAGAGGCCCCGTCTCCTGATGCCTTCCTGTTGGGGAGTAGGGTTTCAATGTGGGGATTTGGGGATACTGAGGTCTTGCCCTACTGAGCTGCCCTGAGCTGCCTCAGCCAGGCCGGCCAGCGAGCTGTGGGGAGCGGGAGCAGGAGAGAAGGCTCTGGCAGGGCCCAGCCGACCAGATGGGCCTGGCGTCCCTGTGCTGTCGGAGGTGAGCGCAGGGAGCATCTCACAGGATGCAGGGTGAGCGAGCGCCTCACTCCAGGGCCTCGGTTTGTTCTCAGGGGGGTGGATCACAGCGCCGAGCTCGTGAGCGCTGGAGGGTTAATAACTCAGGGGAACGGCCTGACACCTCCGCGCCGGCCCTGCTGGAGGACCAGCAGGCGGTGCTGTCCACGGGCCTGGAAGGGTGCAGATGGCTTATGTCTGCAGTGCTGTGGGCCGCCACCAGCCGCATGGCCACACAGGGCTCTGGAGCCCTTGAAGTGCCATCTGTGACTGAGGAGCTGGCTTATTTACTTTGTTTTGTTTCAGTTGAAATTTAAGTAGCGCTAGCGTGAGAGCACAGCGCTTTGGTGTTAGCTGGAGTCAGCATTCCTGTTCCTATTAAGACTAGCGGCCTGGTACACGAAGTTTTCCCCAGGGGGGCAAGGGAGGGGGGTGTCCCTCATCCCAGCCTGCACTCTCTCCAATCTGGGACATCCCTCTCACAATCTGGGACTGCTGGCTCCCAACCACTCACCCGCCTGCCCGCCTGATCACCCCTAACCACTCCCCTGCCAGCCTGGTCAACGACTAACCGCTCCCCTGCTGGCCCAATCGCCCCCAACTGCCCTCTTTTACTGGCCTGATCGCCCCCATTGCCCTCCCTTGCTGGCTCAGTAACTCCCAACTGCTCTCCCCTGCTGGCCCGGTCACCCCCAATGCCCTCCCCTGTGGCCTGATAGCCCACAACTGCCCTCCCCTGTCAGCCACATTATTGCGGCCAACTTTGACTACATGAGGCAACCATCTTGTGCAAGGGCATGAGGGTAAATTTGCATATTACCTCTTTATTACATAGGAAGACTGTCCGTGTTCTTCCTTCATCTTAACTGGTGGGTGGGGCTCCGATTCCCGCAGCCCGCACGGGGATGGGAGTCGAGACGTCACGGTCCAGAGTTCCCAGGCCTGACATTTGCCCAGTCCCGGCAGAGGCTGCTGTTTGATCTGATTTGTGAAAAATAAGAACTTTTCTGATATTTCACTCACCTGGCATCTCCCTTCAAACCCGACACAGATGCAGAAGTACTTCTTGGAGATGAAAAGCAAGATGCCCTCCTTGTCTCCCATCGACAAGAACTGGCCGCCCAGGCCTTTCCTGTTCCTGGATTCCACTCACAAGGAGCTGAAAAGGATTTTCCACTTGTGGAGGGTAAAAAACATCTTTTTGGAGACTCCTTACCACATTCTGTGTGTGTGAGAAGTGAATGTCTGCCACCTCTTCCTCTAGCCTGGAGGGGACTGTTGGAGAATGGGGGCGGGGGGGCGGGTATTTTATTTTCTCACCGGGTACCGCACATGGCAGGTGTGCCCGGGGTCTCCTCTTGTCCAGGGAAGTGGTGTGCGTGGCTGTGTTGTCTTTCCCGTTCAGATCCCACTTGCCTTTTGTTTTGTTTTGTTTTCTTCCTCTCTGAAGGAATGATACTATAGGACAGTGGTCGACAAACTCATTAGTCAGCAGAGCCAAATACCAACAGTACGACGACTAAAGTTTCTTTTGAGAGCCATATTTTTTAAGCTTAAACTTCTTCTAACCCCACTTCTTCAAAATAGACTCGCCCAGGCCGTGGTATTTTGTGGAAGAGCCACACTCAAGGGGCCAGAGAGCCACAGTTTGCCGACCAGGGCTGTAGGAGAAAGGAATAATAACATGTGAACTTCTTCGCACGATGCGGGTCAGCCCTGTCTGCTCTGAGTTTACGTGGTGGTTTTCCTCCTGCGAGTCTCCAGGAGGGTGGCGGCCTCGGGACTAGGGCCTGCAGCGATGAGCAGATGGTGAGAGGCCAGGCCGCCAGAGGACCCTCGTGTGTGCGGAGAGAGTGTCCCCAGCCGGCACTGTGAGCAGAGGAACGGACAGGGAAGGCCACACCAATGCTCTTAAATGCAGAGTTTATCCACATTTATTCTTGCCGTATTAAATGGGCTTACTACATGTGAGGATGAGAAATGACCTATTTGTGCATGGGATGTCTTACTTTTTCTTCCCTTGTCTTCTTGTCCTGCAGTGTAAAAAATACCGGGACCAGTTCACAGACCAGCAGAAGCTTATCTATGAGGAGAAGCTGGAAGCCAGTGAGCTCTTCAAAGACAAGAAGGCGCTTTACCCATCGAGGTATGGGGGCTGTGCTTTCCTCACAGCAGTCAGCATTTCAAAAATGTCTCAGATACGGGCAGGTCTTTTCTCGTAGAGGTTTCGGTGCTCCATGAGAGCTTTTTTTAATTGCATGCCTTACTTTATGAGCATATTTATGTAGAAGTAACAAATGCTCTGGAGCAACGGTCATTTCTTGCCTTTATTCCATTGGCATCAGCTCGAACACTTCACTAAACAATTAGAACTCACACCCGGCTGCTGTGGCTCAGTGGTTAGTGTCAGCCTGTGCACCTGAGGTCATGATTTGACTCCAGGTCGGGGTACATGCCCTAGTTGGGGGCTCGGTCCCCAATAGGGGGCGTGCAGGAGGCAGACAATCCATGTTTCTCTCTCCTCCCTTTCTCTCTGACATTAATAAAAACATTTGAAAAATAATAATAATTAGAAGTCACTTTTTAAAATAAAAATTGTGTAGGTTACTAAGATAAGTTTGCATTGTAAGTTCCTGTTTCCGTAAGTTTCAGGGTCTGGCCCAATTTCTATTGGCCATTTACTGTCATCACCATTCCAGTCTTCCTGCTTTATTTAATGAGCTGGGTCAGAATTCGTTTGTAAGAGCCATGAGAGAGCGAGCCAGCGTACACTTTCTGAGTACTGCATGGGCATGGCTTTCGAGGGCCGGGTCAGCGAGTTCACTTCCTTGGTTGTAGACACCAACTACTCAGTAAAGGAAGGCATAGCTATGGCAGGTTCGCTGTATGAATTCCTTTCCCTGATAAAGACGGCTCATCAGGTATTCCTACATACCCCAAGTTCATCATTTCCCCCAAGAATTCCCACCTCCTTTTCATCTGGCATTTATGAAAAAATAAATTGTACGGTTTCGAGCCAAATCTGGAACAACTTTTAGTTTCCCCCGAAGAATGGCCTAGAAATGTAAATGCATTCATTGCATGCTAAATGTACTCACATGCACTGCCTGTGGTACACCTGTATTCTCTGTCTTCACGCACATTTGGAAGTGCTTCCTTTCAGAGGATTAAAGGACCCGAACTCACCAGGCTCATTTGATTTAGATGTTGGAAGGGACACAGCGTCCTTGGTGGGCTGGTCTGGTGGCCCGAGGTGGTATCTTCTAAGTCAAACATGGTGACTCGATCCCAAGTCGGCCAGGCGGCCTGCTGTACACAGCGTATGCAGGCGGGAGCACCGTCTCTCTGCTTTCTCCGGCAGCTAGTTTTATTCCACTTCTTTATATTTTTAACATGTAGAGTAGCCTTCTTAATTAACATTCCCTGTGGATGACTCTTAACTAGAGGGAGGAAAATGCATTTTTAAGGAAACCAGTTCAAAGGCTCTTAGCACTTTTTATTATTAAGAACACATTTGAATGTGGACAATAACAAAAATGTTAACGACGTCAAGACAAATTTGGGGGGTGGGGAGGCATCACCCACGGCAGTCGGGGTGAAGGGCAGCCCATGGGTGTGGGCCTCTTCCGCCCGGGTGCCCCCTCCCTCGCCTCCACTGTGTGAAGCTGGGCCCACGGGTGTCGGCCTTGTCCGTCCTGGGATCTGTGAAACTGACCACCGACACAGATTGTTCTTCCCCAATCCTCCACCCACCACACAAGCCTTCAAAGTGGTATGTGCACATTGCCAGAACTTTACAGCTCAGAATGCAGCAGAAGGGTTTTGTTGGTGTGCTTGTGTGTCTTTGAAGCGTGTCCCCAATCAGGTCTCGAGGGAAATCGTGTCTCGGCGTATGGACACGATCACGCCTCTTGTGGGAAGCACTCTGTTTGGGAGATAATTGCTCGGGTTCTAGATGTTTACGTGGCCACTTCTGTCAATGTAGGGACATCTCTTAGGAGGAGAAGCCTGGTTTTTCTTTCATGTGTTGCCTCTTGGAGTCAGAATTTCCTGATAATATCACCTGTTCTATAGTTTCTTTCTAAGACCTATCGCTCTGGCCCTACTCTCCCTAGAAAGTTATGATTGTCTTACTCTGTGAGAACATGGGCTTTTCCTTTGGATCAGATGATGGCGATGTTTGTGCTCTGTGTTCTGTTGCTGCGTGTTGTTTAAAGGGATTAATAAACCCTTTGTGGGCAGTTGTTACGTTGATAGTCATGGATCAGAGGAACTGCCTTTCCCTTCAGGTGAGGCCCTAACTTGGGTCCTGGGTCTTTCATGTGAGTGATTTTTACCTTGATTGTTCCATGCGATAAGATTTTTATCAAAGTCCTGCCTACCAAATGCCAAGATCACATCAAAAATATATTTGAGCCCAGCCGGTGTTGCTCAGTGGTTGGGCATTGGTCCATGAACCAAGAGGTCACTGGTTCCATTCCCGGCCTGGGTATATGCTCAGGTTATGGGCTCGATCTCCAAATGACGTTTCTCTCTCATCGATGTTTCTATTTCTCCCTTTCCCTTCTTCTCTCTCTAAAAAAAAAAAAGTCAATAAAAACATTTAAATATATACACTGAGTGGCCAGATTATTATGCGTTCAGAGATCATAATCTGGCCACTCAGTGTGCGTGCGTGCGTGCGTGCGTGTGTGTGTGTGTGTGTGTATGTGTGTGTGTATTTGAAACCGGTTTAAGACTCCGTTTCCAGCTTACATTAGTATTGAGGACAGATGCAAATACAACATATAAAACATATAAAATAAGTTTACTTTCTATGGAGCCGCCTGACCCTCTTTGGAATCGGCTGCCTGTTGTTTTGTCAGCAGTACTTCCACCTGACCCCGTGCCTGATGGGAGGGATTTGGTTTTGTTCTTTCTTTTTAGTGTTGGCCAGCCATTCCAAGGGGCTTACCTGGAAATCAACAAGAACCCCAAGTATAAGAAGCTCAAAGATGCCATTGACGAAAAGATCATCATTGCTGAGGTCGTCAACAAAATCAACCGTGCGAACGGCAAGGTGAATGATCCCCTGTGGGCTGTGGGCCGCATCTGTCGTCTTCCCGAATGTTAAAATTTTCACTTCAGTCCTGACCAGTTTGGCTCAGTGGATAGGGTGTCGGCCTACAGACTCAAGGGTTCCAGGTTCAGATTCTGGTCAAGGGCATGTACCTTGGTTACAGGCACATCCCCAATAGGAGGTGTGCAGGAGGCAAGCAATCAATGTTTCCCTCTCATCGATGTTTCTAACTCTCTCTCCCTCTCACTTCCTTTCTGTAAAATATCAATAAAATATATTTTTTAAATAAATAAAATTTGCACTTCACATTCCCAGCGTGGTGGCTGTGCAGGGCGTTGTCTCTCCACCCCCCCCCCCACTCTCCTCACCCCCCACACACACACCCCCCACGCCTTCCAGGTTCGTAGGCATTGTGCCTATTGATTCACGTGGGTCTGTGAATTAACATGTCTTGCCTGTGCTTCACATGTTCTCGGTTCACAGAGGCATGTTTGCCAAGGCATATTGGGGTGAAATATGCATTTCTGCAAATAACGAATGCTTTACACTCACCGGCCATCGGGCTCGTTTTCCATCGCCGGTTTTGCATCCTGTTCTGTTTCCTTTCCTTCAGAGCACCTCCCGGATTTTCCTCTTAACCAACAACAACCTCCTCCTCGCCGATCAGAAGTCCGGCCAGATCAAGTCGGAGGTGCCCCTGGTGGACGTGACCAAAGTGTCCATGAGCTCGCAGAACGACGGCTTCTTCGCCATCCACCTCAAGGAGGTAAGGCGCCCCGCCGGCCTGACCGAAAGGGTTCGGCCTCGGTCCCCTCTCTCGGCCATCGGGGGAACGTGCCCCGAACCTGAACGGTCCTGTTGCCGGAAGACTCCATGCTCCTCTTCCTGACGGGGAGGTTTTGGCTGCAGTCCCTCCGGGAGAGATTCTCAGGCTCCGGGTTTTCAGGAACTGAAGGAGCTGAATGGCTTAGCGACGTGCTGGCTGGAGCCACCGTCTGACCGAGCGGCTCTGGTCTGTGCCCGTTGCGCTGGGCACTGCTCTGAGAATAAACGGGTGGGACTGTGAAGAGGTTTCAAACGCTGCTCCCTCCGGTGGTGTCATCCACAAACCGACTTAGTAACTGTCTTGTTCGTCTTCAGTCTCGGGGCTTTGGAGTGAGAATGTGACTACAGTCATCTGCCTGAGAATTTGGACCTGGAGATAGTTTGTCTTCTGAGCTCTTAGCTGAACCAGGACCGTCCTGACTTGAACCCCTGGAGTCGGCCTCACTGACTTTGCCGTGACCTTGGCCAGGCCCGTTAGTGTCCCGTGCCGACCTCATTCTTCTCCTCTTTATTTATTTTTATTTTTATTTTTATTTTTTAAATATATTTTATTGATTTTTCTTACAGAGAGGAAGGGAGAGGGATAGGGAGCTGGACGCTTCAATGAGAGAGAAACATTGACCAGTTGCCTCTTGCACACCCCCTACCGGGGATGTGCCCGCAACCAAGGTACATGCCCTTGACTGGAATCGAACCTGGGACCTTTCAGTCTGCAGACCGACGCTCTACCGCTGAGCCAAACCGGTTTTGGCATTCTTCTCCTCTTTAAAACGGGAGAACAGCGGCACCTGTTTCGTAGTGTTGTTCTAGGATTAAATGTAAAGTGCTTCCCATAGGGCTTGCCACCCAGGAAACAGTCACCAAATAAACAGGCAGCAAACAGTCCTCAAGTTCAGCGACATGTGTCTCACTAACAGTGGCCTTGCCAGCAGCGTCCAAATTTGAGACAATCCCATAGCCTCATTCGGCCTGTTTCTTCGGCTGTGACTCTCAGCCTGGTGGAGGCATGGTCAGCCCGAGATGATCCTGAGCCCCGGCTGCCCCTGAAGGCAGCGCTGCTGCCCAGGCCACATCCCCGGTCAGCTAGGCCAGGGTCTCAGAGGGGCACCAGCACCCCGTGTTTCAGACGCCCTCCAGGGGGGTCCCTCGAACAGCGAGCAGAGCCACGGCCTGGGGCTGACTGTTGGCGATTGTTACAGCTCTGACTTCTTTAACCGAATCAACGGGGAGGGTTTAAGCAGCGCTTTGAGAGCAAGTTCCCGGTGAGGTCAGAGGTCGGACCTGCGTGTGGAAGCAGGTGACCAGGCGGGAGGCCAGCGAGTCTGCTTCCAGCCAGCTCCTGGGGACGCTGAGGGCGCCTCTGCCCGTCCACCAGCTTTGGGGAGCTCGGGGTTACCTGTGTGCTGGAGCCGCGTGGGAGGAGTACTGCTTCTGTCGCCCGTTTACCGGAAGGATGCGCTCCAAACTGATGCTTACAGGACCGTGTGCTCGCTCAGCGGTCTACGAGCTCTGCCTCCTGCGCCGCCTCCTCACCGTCTGGCCCACTTTGTCCTCCAGGGCTCCGAGGCAGCCAGCAAAGGGGACTTCCTCTTCAGCAGCGACCACCTGATCGAGATGGCCACCAAGCTCTACCGGACGACTCTCAGCCAGACCCGACAGAAGCTCAACATCGAGATTTCCGATGAGTACGTGCATGCGCTATGGCATACCCTGCGTGCTCCCGGCTGCCTTATTTTGGGGACAGATGTGACCTGAGCTCACTCGTTGGTGCAGCCCCTGCTAGGGAGAGCCCAGTGTGTGTCTCATGGTTCCAGATGATGGTGGGCAGGGAGCAACCAGGGGCCTCCCCCTTGCACCTCACCTCTAGTGGGAGAGGAAAGCATGCACCAATAGAATAACTTGGTGACATGGTGTACGTTACAGGGGGGAGCAGGTGAAGGGTCGGAGGGTGCTGGCTGTGGAGATCAGGAGGGTCTCATTTTAGTGGCACTTGTGTTGAGGCTGGAATCCGGGGGGTGGGGGGTGGGGGGGAGCCAGGCAGCAGTCCAGGCGTGGCCTTTCGGGGTGGCCGCAGGTGCAAAGGCCCTGAGACGGGGCAGGCCTGGATGCAGAGTGAGATGAGAGAGAGGCAGGCCGGCCCTGTGGAGCTCGGGAGCGGAGGGGAGGAGCTGAGATTTCCCGGAAGAGGATGAAGCCGCAGTAGGTCTGGAACGAGGGGGTTTGTGATCCGATTTGTTGGTTTCAAAGCTCACTCTGCCTGAGGTGTGGAGAGCGACTGTAGGGAGTCGAGAGTGGAGGCAGAGGAAGGAGCTGGGAGCTTCTCCAAGCTGTCCTCACTGAGAATGACCGGCAAGGAGGGTGTGGCTTAGGCTAGGGCCGTGGTCAGCAAACTACAGCTCACGAGCCACATGTGGCTCTCTGGTAAGGTGACCAGACGTCCCGCTTTTGGTGGGACAGTCCTGATTTTTAACAATTTGTCCCGCGTCCTGCGGCGTTTTAAAAAAAGCCCCGATTTTTGGAAAGATTAAAAAATCGGACTGTTTTAAAACGGCACAAATTGTTAAAAATCGGGACTGTCCCACCAAAAGCGGGACGTCTGGTCACCTTACTCTTTGGCCCCTTGAGTGTGGCTCTTCCACAAAATACCACGGCCTGGGAGAATCTATTTTGAAGAAGTGCATTAGAAGAAGTTTAAGTTTAAAAAAATGTGGCTCTCAAAAGAAATGTCAATCGTTGTCCTGTTGCTATTTGGCTCTGTGGACTAATGAGTTTGCCAACCACTGGGCTAGGTTGTGAGTGGGAGCTGTGAGCAATGTTTCAAGTGTTGTTTGAAGGGAAACAAGGCCTTATTAATAGATTGGGAGTTAGGTTTTGAACCCAAATGGTGATAACCATTCACTGCAGTGCAGTAGAGGACACAGGAAAGAGGAGTTTGGGGGTGCAGGTAGCATGAAATAGAGTGGTGTACTGTGTTTTGTGTGTGTGTTTTTTAAAAATATATTTTATTGATTTTTTTACAGATAGGAAGGGAGAGAGAGAGATAGAAACATCGATGAAAGTCATTGATCAGCTGCCTCTTGCACACCCTTCACTGGGGATATGCCTGCAACCAAGGTACATGCCCTGGACCAGAATCGAACCCGGGACCCTTCAGTCCGCAGGCCCACACTCTATCCACTGAGCCAAACCGGTTTCGGCGGTGTGCTATGTTTTGATGCCTTTAGTTTCACATGTTGATAACTAGTATTACAGAGTGAGCGTTCCATGTGGACAGGAGCCTGCTCTTGAAATTTACATTTTTCCTTGACATTAGGGCCCTAATTATAGAGACATTTTTTTGCAGGCAGGTTGGAGTACTCCCCTCTCCCTCCCCAATTATTAAGTCTATCAATATGAGATCATTTGAATGAATTTGAGCCACTGTGTGGTTTGATACTTAATTTTTTTCAGTAGATTGTTTACTTTCTACTTATGTACTTTCCTCGCATTTATCATAATCCTTTGCACATAACCAGGTTGTTCAGGAAACGGTTTTATTTTCCTAGTTACGGTTTTGCCAGCCTGTTCTATTTCAGCTCTTTCTAGAAGTCTTTCTGAAGTAAATCCACACCCATTCCTACCCCTGTGTAAGCCAAACATGGCCTCCTGGGTGTGTTGGCACTTACAGACCCTTAGTTCAGTGTCTGTTCTCATTTTGCACGAAGGATGGTGCCTGGATTGGGTGGGAGATGGGCTGTTGTTTGTACTCTGCATTGGAAATGGCAGTGTGGACGAAATAACGCTCTCCTTATTGAGTCCTTTCTCACAGACTACTGAGGAAAAAGCTAACGGCTAGTTGGGGTCCAGTCAATCATTGTTTTAAGCTGACGGAACCTGTCAGAGTAGCGGTCGCCCGCCTTTCGGACTTCGCGGACCCCCGGCGGTCTGCGGACCCCCGGCTGGCGGCCGCTGTTTTGGAGCTCGAAGCTCCCTTCACTGACATCTGTGACTGGGGATGCTGGGCTCCGGGTGGTGGCGGCGGGTCTGCATCCCCGTGCGGAGCCCCTCGGGCGGGGGTGGAGAGCCTGTGGTTGGCCGGCTACGTGGACGGGATGGAGGCACAGAGGGCTTTACACCCCCCACAGCCGGCTACACGGTTCCCTGCTTTGAAATACACACTTAGGCGGGAAATAACAGCAGAGTGGGCAGGTGCGGCCGAGGCTGTGCCGGCATATTGTGAACAGCCGAAGTTTAGAAGCCCTCGACGCTGAGCCCTCCAACCCTCCTTCCCTGAAATCCGTTACTTCCTTTGTTGATAACTGAGTAGGACCCCTTGCCCCACAGAAATAGAAAGGCATGGAAAGGAGCCCATTGGTGTTTCCGTTCGAGATCTGGAGCCACATGCGGCTCTTTGACCCCTTGAGTGTGGCTCTTCCACAAAACACCACGGCCTGGGCGAGTCTATTGTGAAGAAGTGGCGTTAGAAGAAGTTTAAGTTTAAAAAATTTGGCTCTCCAAAGAAATGTCAATTGTTGTCCTGTTGCTATTTGGCTCAGTTGACTGATGAGTTTGCCGACCACCACCCTGGAGGGATGCGCTCAGGGCTGAGCCGGAGCTACAGCAGCGTCTGCCACCTGCTGATGGGGCCACGTCCACGGTTCTGATGGGCCCTGTGTACATGGTGCTGATGGGAGCCATGTACACAGAGCTGATGGCCCCATGTTCACGGTGCTGATGGGAAGGAGAAGCGTGTCCAGATCAGGGTCTGTTGGAAAGCTGGAGCCACGGATCGCCAGTGTTCCGCGCCAACACTCACCTGCCTTGTCCTCCCCCAGGTTCCTGGTGCAGTTCCGACAGGACAAGGTGTGTGTGAAGTTCATCCAGGGCAACCAGAAGAACGGGAGCGTCCCCACGTGCAAGCGGAAAAACAACCGTCTCCTGGAAGTGGCGGTTCCTTAGCGGGCGCCCCACCCCCCCGCCCCCACCCCCTCTGCTCGCACGGACTCATTTCTTTGTAATAGTGCAATTTGGTTTGGTTTGGTTCGGGCTCATCATATGTTTGGGAATTGTCCAAGGCTGATACCATTAGAGCGAGCCCCTTGGCGAAATAAAAACACTCGACTAATCACTTTTTATTGAATCGTTTTAACCCTGAGGGCACACCTCCTGTGCGTGACCCTAGGACTGGACTGCAGTGGCGACTGTGTCCACAGCGTGTCCTCTGTTCAGTCCTCATGTTAGATCTGTGCACCCCAAACCCGAGTATTCCTCATACACCACTAACGCATCTAAGGATGGGAGTGGTCTTAAGGACGGCTCATTCACTCGTCAGCTATTTATTGAAGGCCTCCTCGGCAAGACTCTGTGCTCGATGGTAGGGAACGTCAGTGGGAATTTTTGTTTGTTTGCTTTTAAGGCTGTGGCATCCTGGCTGATTGTGGGGGTTTTGTGGAGACCAGAACAGTCCCTGTTGCTGATGGGCAGCGTGATGCGGAAGCCCTGGTGTGGTTTCGACACTATGCCCTTCGAGAAGGGCTGGTTCTAGGAAGGAGAAATGTACAACTGGGTAACATGCCTCCAGGTGTGAAAAGAGGAAACTGACATTTGAACGGGACTTTTCATTGGTTTTGACCTCTTATCGTGGCTTAGGAAATGGTCATTTTTACTTTGGGGGGGTGGGGGGGAATGACAGGAGCAGCTCAGTAAGGTTATATTTTCCGTTTCTGGTAGACAGCATGTGTGATCCTACATGGACAGGGTGTTGTTTCACACTAATCTGAACAAATCCTTTCAACAGCTGACAAAAGGGAGGGCTGGGGTCCTTTCAGGTGGCGGCAAACGTTCTATTATGATGTGCAATAAGCATCCAAGATCTTGGGGGGGGGGGGAGTTTGGAAACTTTTATTTATAAAATACATTTTGTATGAGAGAGGTGATTGGTGCAGGGGGCATATTTTAATCAAGGATCAAAACTGTTCACTTGCAGGACTTCTTTTCTTTTTTCAAATTTACACTACGGACTCGTTTTGGAAGCTGCCTTTCAAACTTTGGAACCAAATTGTTTCCCATTTGGAGGATAATGTATATGCGATGGTCTGTTAAATAATAAAACTGTTCTAATCTGGTGCCATTTCCTGGGTCACAGCTGTATTTTTGTATTCCGAGCTACGCGGGTTTGGTGTGTATCAATACAGTGTCACACAGAAAGGCTTTCCCACCAGACATTCTGTGTTCTCTGTGTCATTGAACTTCACTTGTCTTAGAAACCAGAAACATCCAGTGAAAGTATTTTTTTTGTGTGTGTGTGTGTGTGTGTGTGTGCGCTTGAAACTATTGCTTCTTTAAGATGTTCCCAGAAGCCTCTGTGTGCATTGGTGCTGACACAGGAAGCAATTGCTTCCTTCGGTCTCCTCCAGCGTCTACCCAAAGGGCTAGGCTGATGATTCCTTAAACAGGTAATTTCTAAGTAGAAATTCGGGAGCCTGGAGGTGTTTTTATTTTATTTTATAATTTTATTGAATTGATTGGGGTAATATGGGTTAATAAAGTTATACAGATTTCCGTACACAATTCTACAGTATATCCGCTATACACTCTACTGTGTGTTCACGCCCAAAGTCAAGTCTCCTTCCATCACCATTTATCCCCCCTCCCCCCTCTCCCCACCCCTCTTCCCTTTGGTCAACCCACACTGCTGTCTGCGTCTATGGGGTTTGTTGTTGTTTTGTGGTATTTTGTTGTTGGTTTTTTGGTTTGTTTTTTTTGTTTTGTTTTGTTTTGTTTTGTTTTGTTTTGCTTAATTTCTTCATCTTCTTCACCCAGCCCTCCAACCCCCTCTCCTCTAACAGCTGTCCGTCTGTCTCTGTGTCTGTTTCCATTTTGTTTGTTATTTTATTTTGTGCATTAGATTCCACATTAAAATTTTTTTTTTTAATATTTAATATATCACGCCGGCCGGGTAGCTCACTTGGTTAGAGCATCATCTGGAAAACCACGGTTGTGGGTTGGATCCCTGTCAGGGCACAGACAAGAACCAACCAGTGGATGCAGAAATAAGCGGGACGGCACACGGATGTTTCTCTCTCTTCCCCTTCCTCTGTCTCTAAAACCACTAAAGAAAAAGAAACCAGCCTTTCAAGAAAGTGTAACTCATGCATTCCCATTGTTCAAAATGCCAGTACATCTAAGAAGAGGGAAGGTACACACTCTCCATCTCGCCCGTTTCCGCGCCCTCCTGGAAGTCACTGTTGTGTTCCGTTGCCTTTGCGTTACTGTGTGCGAGCTTATCGGAGGAGATGAAAACACAGGCTCCTGGCTTCCTTCTCTTTAGTAGACAAAAGCGAGTGTGCTGTAAGCATTGCTCTGCTGTTCTCACTCTTCGTCCTGTTGACAGGGCACAGTCTCCCGTTGTCCGGATGCGCTGCCGTTAGTAGCCAGGCCCCTGCCGTCCTTGCCGGGCTGTGCGCTGATGGAGGGGAGGAGCTCTCTCCAGGGGCCTCCTTGTTCCAGGTCCCCAGCTCGTCGTTTGCGGATCGTGTGCAATGGCAGTTAGAGTGATATGTTTTTCAGCATTCGTTTCCTATAGAGCAGTGTTTCCCAAACTTCTCTCATGCTGAGAATCATCTGGTGGAGTTGTTAAACTACAGATTCCTGAATCCCAACTGAGAGGGGCTAAATTAGAATGTTTGGGAACATACAGGTAAAATTGTATACTTAACTTAGTGCTCTGTACAATTTTACCTATATGCTCCCCAAAATTCTAGTTTAGCCCTCTTAGTTGGGATTTAGGAATCTGTAGTTTAACAACTCCACCAGGTGATTCTCAGCATGAGAGAAGTTTGGGGAACACTGCTATAGAGGAACCATTTAATCTCAAACTTTGGGGTAAGTATTCTGCTCAGATTTTAAAAGATCTCTACAAAGTGGTTTTTAAGTGGGACTCTCTTGGTATACACATCCTGGTACGTCACCGCAGCAGTCGGTGGTTTCGGATCCTGAAACTCACCCTGGGTGGGTTGTGACCAGCTTTGGTGGAAAGGTTTTCTGAGCTTCAGCAAGAAAGCTTTCTTATGGACCAGGGTGAGGCCCGCCTCCTCGAGGCCCCTAAACAAGGCAGCGGGGGAGAGCACCCCAAGTGCCGCCAAGGGACTGTTCCTGGGCTTCGGGTGTCTATAGAGGCGCCCCCTTTCCTTCCTGGAGGGAGCAAGCCAGCAGTTAAGGGGAGGGTGCCCGCTGAGAGCAGTGACGTCGAGGTCTGCAGCGCGGAAGTGGAGTGTGAACCCTGGTTCAGTCCCGAGGCGAACGTTCGCCGCCCTCCAGAGGGATGTAGTCTTTGTTCTGTGGGAAGCCTTTCCCCTTCGCCCTCGGGGAAAGCAGGGCTCCGTTGACCTCGTTGGACATGAGGAGGGAGCCGCATGCTCCAGGGGACCCCGAAATGGCACCTAGGTCACCACTGCAAAGAAAACTCAAAAATTGTCGCAAACCAACAACAAACCACACCAACCCCCGGGCCTGCTTCTGCCCCCACTGCCTGCCGATAGGCCATGGATCGACCTTGGCATTGCCCTGCTAGAGCCAGTGCACACGGGTGCTCCTAAACTCTGAGCTTCCGTCACCAGCCTGCATAGAGAGTTCAAATATCGGTGGCAGCTTTCCTGGCTACACAGGCCTGACTTGGTCGTGCAGCCCCTGGGGGAGCTTGTCGGCTAGGCCACGTGCTCCCTGTGAGAACAGTCACCGGAGCGATACTAAACTGGCCCGGAGCCGTCACCACGGCTGCAGTGTGGCTGGCACAGGTGGTCTTGACTTTGACTTCCAGGCAGGAAAGGGGCCTGGGACATGCCCTGCAGGAGACAGGTTACGGGCTTGCCTCACACAGCCTTGGGTAATATGTCAGATGCAGTATTCAGACGTAAGACCTTCAACTTGAGTTCGAAGACCCTGGCTGATCCCCCCCCCCAAGTTGTGGGGTGTGTCTGTAATGGCAACGCACCAGGGCCCAGGATTCTGAGCGTTGGGCCTAGTCCCCCACGTTGAGCATTTGGCTAACGTCTGGGAGAATAAGTGGCTTTTTATCACGCCGTTGGAAGACTCAGGGAGAACTCCTAAGTTCCTGTAATTGAGTACAATTAGGATCCTGAGAGCGGGGTTTAACATTCGTTTAGGCTCCAGATAATGGACAACTGTGTTGGGCTTTTTATCTGCTCTTTTCCATGTAGAGGTGAGGCTTTGGGTTCTAAGATGCTCCAGCAACCATCGTGCTGACAGTGGAGTTGTAGGGAAGGCCTAGTGAGTTCCTCCATGTGTCCACTGAGGTGTCCCAGGCGGAGTGGTGGTCGGCGCCTGTCTTTAAGCTGGGCGTGGGGTTTCCCTGCTCTGCAGTCCTCAGGGTCACTCTGTCGATGACGGATCTTCCTGTAGGAAAAACAGCAGGGAGACTTCCCGTTTGTAGCTGGTGTTCCCCTCAGAGGGTCGTCTCTGTGGACCTCATGGCAGCAGGTCCCTCGTGGGCTCCTTCATCCCCGCGTGCAGTTGGCTCCACGCTGGCCAGTGTGGCCCCGCTGGCACCTTCTGCGGCCTCTCTGGCTCCCCTCCAGTGGCTGCTCCGTGGCTGCTCCGTGGCCGTGGTTTGGAGTTGGTTTCCTCCAGGTCTTGGAATTGTTGGCCTCGCTCTCTGCGTTGGAGGCCGTTTCAGAGTCTGGAGTTAATCACCGTGCAGCGCCAGCACCCCCTCCCTCCTCGTCCTTTTCCCCCTCCCGCAGCTGCTGCTGCTGGCAGGGTGGCCACACCCGCTCAGTGCCATACCAGTCAGCAGAATCTAACTTTGTAACCAAGGAAGAGGGTCTGGAACTTAACTCCCTGTTTACCCGAAGGCCCGGCGGCGCTGAGAGGAAGAACTGCAGCTGCCCGCCACCTTCCCATCGTGCTTCGTCTGGAATGGTTTTGCTCCGGTTTTGAAA